ACGTTCTCTTTAATTCTATAAACAGACATAATTTCTTGTTCAGTTACAAAGTTCCGCTGTTCAAGTCCTGGAATTGCTCTGCCGAGAATACCGACTAACTTGTCAATCGAAGTTTTTTTTCGTTTTCACTAACCTCTCTGTCACTTTCTTCATGCCATTATCCATTTTTTGTAGCAATTCCACTTTTTATTTGATGGGCATCGAAACATGCTTTCGCTTTGTAGATCCTTTGGCAGCTCCAGAATCGGAAACTCTTTTTGACATAATCGAAAGTTCAAGCTTACTTTTTATAAAATTGCTCTAACAGTCTGCAAAAAATAATAAGCCGGATCCAATTAGAAGATTAAAAGGAACAACGATATCTGAAACATTAACTGAAATAGATAATTAAATAATTTTAGCCTAGCCTATACTGTCCGTTATACATTAAACGCGCATGCGTAAACGCATATGCGTACGCGTAAACGCTACGCATGAGCAGAAAGTTTGTAGCTTTGAGGTCCGGATTATAGATCATTCCGGATTATGGACGTCCGGATTAAAGACTTTGTACTGTATATACCTTATTTTTAGCCAAAGGGTGAGTAGCCCAGAAGGGTTATTAGTCTCAAGACATTTTGTGGCGTTTCACTATAAACGACGAATCACTTTTTAAATTGTTACCATCAAATATTATCGCCCTGAATTACATTTAAAGTAATTAAAAAAATGAAGAATCTGCATAAATATAAGACTGTTTCTCGCATTGTGAAAAAACGACAGTACTTAGAGCCATCACATTTTGTATAACCTAATCCTCCACTCGAACATGGGGCACCTGGAAGTCCGAATTTTGAGTTTGTTTTATTATCTATTTTGTATTTTGTAAAACTTCAACGTGTTTTTCTTATTTTAAGACTCAGCGATTTCAAACCGAGCAGCGGCAGCACTGTTCGGAATAAAACATTTTTATATCCAGGGGGCGAGACTGCCTAACGGAAATTGTAAAGATATGCTGTTTTTAAATATTTGTAGCTCAAAGGTGTGTTGGCTCTCGAAACGTGTATGTGTGTGTCAATGAAAACTAAATGCCCGTTTGGAAGTAATATAAAATCTAAAAGCTTTCAGATTTTTTTTATTTAATATTATTTGCTACATTGCGTTAATAAGCAAACAGTAACAAACAGTAAAGGCCATGATGTTTTGTGAATACGCTTCCCTATCGCCTGCTACACACACACACACACACACCAAAAAAAAAAAAAAAAAAAAAAACCTTATCAGGGAAAAAAACATCACGGCTGTCTCTTTAGAAGCCTTAGAAGAATAAATAGTTACGTAATCGGATAACAACCGTACCCTGCGTTACCATAATGAGCTGTTTCTCCCTCGTTTGTTAAGACCCTTCTTCGAATAATATTCGAATTTTTGACTTAGTTACTTCCCAGAATCTATTTAAGAACTTTTAGCATGTTCTCTAAGGTTTAAGGTCTCATGAATGCAAAGAAGAAACAGACGCAAATAAGAAATAAATATGTATTGAAAAATTCACTAAATTTCGAATTCAAAAATAATTTTTCCTTATCTACACTCTCCGAAATTCAGGAGAAAATCTTCATTCACCAATTTGGCTGAGAAAACTTAAACAATAATTAAAATGAATAATTATGTTTAAAAGATTATTCATTTAAACAAAAAAGGCTGTAGTAATTGAATTTCAGTTTACAACAGGAACGACGGAAAAAAAAATACGTATGAATGCTCATCACCATGTTATTCAACCACATTCGAAAACAAAATGGCGCTAACCAATGTCAATGATTAAGTATTTCAGAGAGCTTATGGTTCTAAACCATGTACCTCCACATCATAAAAATATCTAAGTAGTGAGCAGAAATAGGAAAATTGCATAAATAGTTAGTTTGATGCAAGTTAGAGAGAGCCATATTAGCTCGAGAGAGTTTAGGTATAGAAAAAATTTATTAAATGTTGATTTTTTGTAATTCTTTTTTTTTTTGGTTTTTATAATTTTTTCGTATTTTTTAATTTATAGTCCGAAGGGGTAATTTGCTCAAAAGGACTATTTCGTTTAGGCATTTTGCGTTGTTTCACTTTTCAGATTGTTGCTACCAAATCTTATTGTCCTGTATTATATTAAAGAAATTAAGTAATGAAGAATCTGCATGAATGTATGCATGTTTCACGCATGGTGATAAAACAAAGGTACCTAGAGCCATCAAAATTTGAATAACGTAATCTTCCATAGAATAAGGGCAAATTTGGAAGCCCAAATTTGAAATTGAAATTTGTTTTATTATCGATTTCATATTTTGTAACACTTCAACGAATTTTTGATTTACAAACTAAACGATTTCAAAGCGAGCAATGACAACACTGTAAGGGGGGCGGAAAAACATTGTTATCTTCAGTACGCGAGACTTTCAGCGCGGAAATTCTAAAGATATGCTCATTTTAAAATTGTTTTGCGATATTGATGTGGAACTGAAATTTATACAAAATGAAAAAAAAAAAAAAAAAAAAAAAAAAACCACCTACCCTTTGGGCGTTATTTAAAATCTGAAGCCTTTCAGATTTTTTTATTTTTAGTCCAAAGGAGCTTTGTCCCTGAAGGACTATTGTTTTCTTTTTGCGATTTTGCGTCGATTCACTATAAATGGCGAATTACTTTTCAAACTGTTGCCACAAAGTATTATCGCCCTGTGTTATATTTAAAGAAATTAAATAATGAAAAAACTGCATAAATGTATGTATATTTCTCGCATTATGATAAATCAACGGTACATAGAGCCATCGAATTTTGAATGACGTAATCCTCCTATGAATATTGGCATGTGGAAGACCAAATTTGAAATTTTGAATTTGTTTTATTATCGATTTCATATTTTGTAAAACTTTAACGAATTTTTGATTAACAAACTGAAGGATTTCAAAGCGAGTAATGGCAACGCTGTACAGAAAAAAACATTTTTATCTCCAAAGCGTGAATCTCTGTATCGGAAATTCTAAAGATATGCTCATTTTAAAAACTATTTTGCGATAGTGCTGTTGAACTGAATTTTAGGGTTTAAGTGCGAAGAATTTGATATTTAATAAATAAATGTAATACACAAAATGTAAAAAAAAAAAAAAAAAAAAAAAAAAAACACCCCTTTGGACGTAATTTAAAATCTGAAACGTTTCAGATTTTCTTACATTTAATTTTTTTTTTTTTGTATTTTATGTTTTTATGACAAAAATAAAACGCAAAAGCGGAAAGCGGAGACGAAAGTTTTTAGAGATTTAGAGGCTCATTGGCATATGGAACTATATCATAATGTAGTAAAGTTTGTGAAAACGCGAGGAAATATCCAAGACAGATATTAATTCTGCAGGCATAATGTGATTTTTAAACGTACAGATTGATAACAGTGCAAAGAAGGCCATTTGTCAATTAAACTTGTGGCACTACATCCCCCACACACATTTCATCAGCGCCTCGAGTGCTCCTCCTTGCGCATGCGCGATTAGAATATCATCTCTGCGCGACGGCAAAAGAGAACTTTTGCCTGCTGTTTTTATAAGTTCATGTGCGCGTTTTACTCATCGCTGAGATTCCTGTTATTTTATCACTATGTACGTATTTTGATTCATTAAAAGAATTAATTTTTCTAAATGGGTGTCTAGCCATTAACCAAACCTTCAAAACTTGAGTAGAAGATAGCAATTTGGTATAGTCAGTGAGGAATAGCAATTTTAGAAGATAGAGACATCTATCCTTCACGGAACAGGGACTGGAACTGAAGAGCTGGGATTGTTTCTGCGCCTTTTAGCAGTAGGATAGATGCTGTAGTCTCGGCCCATGTTGGCTCTTGGTCGTTTTGGGGAACTTGGAAAACAGGGTCGTAGACCTGCTGAAGTGCTCGGTTATCAATCTGTTCAACTTTGAAGAACAAATTTTAACTAAAATTTTCAATAAGAACATCAGTTGGTTTAATGTTAAGGTCCGAATGAATCACATCGTTACGAACGTATCAGGTTGCACTAAAAATTAACCGTAGGTTTTACTTACTTGTAAATTTTTATGCGAATCTTCGCAGCGGTACCCCAAATGGTACATGCGTACATAGAAATTGGTCGACTAATTGAAGTATAGAGAAGAGCTTTGTTTCTGATAGACAGATAGCTCTTTCAGGCTAATAGGGGTAAAGGTGGGATCTTACGCTCTTCGCTTTATTGAGAGTATTCACAATATGAAGATACCAGAGCAATTTTGATTCAAGTGTCACTCCTAGATACTCATATGAGTTTGACCAGGGAATACAGTCGTCAAAGAATTTTAAATTAATGGAAGGGTACGGGAGTGGAGGTGTGAATATCATGGCAGCACATTTAGCGACATAAATTTTGATTTTCCAAGTAATGAGTCATTGTTCAAGGCTTGAAAGATAACTCTGAATTTTGTGAACCAGTTTATCCAAGTGTTTGTGCTTGGAGGGGATGACCGTGTCATCTGCATAACGCGCTAGAATGACATTGGGTGATTTTGGTCTGTCATTAATGAAAATGTTAAACAAAAAGAGAGCTAAAAGACTACCGTATGGGACGCCACTTAGAACAGGGTGGGGCGTCGAAATGATAGAATTAACTCGTACTGAGAAAGAAAGATTAGTGGGATACGAGTTAATTATGTGAATAAATTGAGCTGAAATATTAAGTCACAAGAGCTTGATTATGATTCCCATATGCCAAGTCCTATCAAATGCTTTGGCGATGTCAAGAAAAAGTACTCTCGTAAGCATCTTGCTACGAAAGCCTTCTGTCCTCAGAAGCTGGTGCGTTGTGCAGTGTTTTGCTCGGAAACCAAATTAAATGGCAGATTGAAAGGAAATATACTTTACACATGCGTAGATTTCGGAAACATGTCTCTGCGCTGCTAATCGGACGCCTAGCGTTCCCATTGTAGGATTGGTTAACATGTCCGACGTCGGATATGTAGACACTTCTTCATACTAAATAATCGATATGACTGATCCAGTATTATATCATAGCAGCCGCCTTCACTTTCTGTTTGTAGTGTGGAGTTGACAGTTCATTGGATTAGAATATAAGAATTCTTAAGTATTTATAGCACTTAATAAATTGAATATGGCTGATAATGAACAGAAAGCAATGCAGCTAGTTGCTGACGCCGAAAAGAAATTAAAATCGGCTCAAGGATTTCTCGGCGGTTTATTTCGGTATTGTACTTGAATATATATCTAATGTTTATGTCTAGATTCAAATTCTTTTTTTTTTTTTTGTCATAAATTTCGAATTACATATTTGAACTTTTCGTAATTGTGATTTAAGTATATGGATTAACCTAAATCCATGAAAGTCGGTGGGACCATCACCAACTTTCATGGTTGATAACATGATATGTAAGTACCGTTTGAAGTGGGTGACTTTTGAATCTCTCTGTATTTTAAAATTATGTATTCTTTCTAATATTTGTATCATTTGGAAAATTCACTGAATGTTTTTACTGGTATGATCATATGTGCATGGTGTATAATAATGGTATTTTTAATTTTAAAGTTCCTCCTCAAAAGTTGAAGAAGCATGTGAAATGTATACAAGGGCTGCTAATATGTTCAAAATGGCCAAAAAATGGAGTGGTATGTTTTTAAGTATAATTTTTAATAAACTAGATTTCATAGTATTTTAGTATTTCACTACAGTGGTTTCAAACTGAGATTGCATGCAAGCCAAATACATGATTTGAAAACAACTGACAACTCAGGTACCTTTTCTTTTCTTCTTTTTTTTTTTTTTAATAATTTTTTTAAAATTTGAAATCTAAAGTTGGATACTTGCAAGGCATTTTCATTGGCTGCACTTTGTAATTCAAATGTATTGACAGCTAGATATTAAATTTTGAGAATGATGTGGTTTATTTCAGATAATTTTCATATGTTTAATTCATCATTTAATAAGTTACTTTTAATTAAAGTAAAAATAAATAAATTATGAAAATTTTCAGAGAAAATATTCCAAACAGGAAAGTCCTTCAGAAGAAATAAAGACAACTTTTTTCTTTTCTTCAATAAATTTTTCTTTCCCGCATAAACAGAAGTATATATATTTGCATATAAATAAACTTCTTTGTTTCTTACTATAGGAGACATGATGGCATTTTGATTCTAATTAAGTTTGTAGCCCTGAAAAAAAAAAAAAAATGATTAGAAGTTATTATCATCAAGGGTTTCAGATGCTGATCAATGTATTCTGTTTTTTTTTTTTTTTTTTTTTTTCTTTCTTTCCTTATTACTTTTCAAATGTAAAAAAGAAAATTGTTCCTGAATAAATGTGCTCCCAAACAAATCCATTGTTTGGTACTTATGTATTAACGCAGCTGCTTTGCCGTGATTTTTTGCAGATGAAAAGGTAAAAGTTATTTATCAGGTATAAAATAGCAATTTTCACGACTTGAGAACTTTCCTATTTGTCATAAGTTGGCAAGCATTATCAACATACCAAAAGGAAATACACTTTATCAATTTGAAATACAAGTTTTAATCGTTAAAATAAGGATTAAATGATGTATAAAAAAAACTTGAGTTTTTTGTGAAATCCTTTTGAATTTTTTCCTGCTGTTCTCCAATTAGCACAGCACAGCGCAGCAATCTCCACAGCAATTTGTTTTCACTTTAAATCTACTAAACCCTTTTTATAACTGTTCATTTTAGCGATTTTGCTATAAAATACTGCATTCCTACAGAAATTTAATTTCAGTTTCTTCCATTGTTGGTAAATTCCACAGGCACATATTTTAAAATTAAGGCAAAAAATATCAAGATTTATTTATAAAAATCTGTTGGAACTTGGACTGCAACAAGAACACATTTGAAAATGGTGATATTGCTTGACTGAAGGATTCTATGAATATGGCTGCCACTGTTCGGTACATTCTAAAAATTTAGCTATTTCTACTAAGGTGGCTGTGATAATATGTAAGTACCCATTATTCTTAGTGCAAAAATTCATAATAAGTGCAAAGAAAAGTTAATAAAATGTGTATCTTCAAATCTTTTAATAAGATTTATATGACACTCTAGGTTGTGCTCCATTCATACATTTTCTTGTATGTTATTTATACTTGTATTTAATGGTCATGAAAATAATGTAAACTCTGATTTCAAATAAACATACAGACTTGAAATATTTGCAATAAATACATCATTGAAATGTATTTGTAGGCTGTATAAAATTTCTATGAGGGGATGTCACTTGAGGCCCAAATATTGCCAGTTTTGATCACTCTTTTGCAATATATCCTTGACATTTTTAAAAAATATGAACTTTCAGAAAGCCACAGAAAATCTCCACCTTTTCCAAAAAGTTAAGCAAGTTTTAAAAAGTGTTATAGATTAGAGTTCTTTAATAAAAGTTCATATTTTAAGTAGTAGCAAGTAAACAAGAATTACATCTTTTAAAGAAGAAAGCAAATGAAGACTTATTTTTATTGTTGAACTTTGGGTTCATTCATTGTTATTTAACACAGTAAATTTCAGTTTATCAGCTGGTCAAAATGAAACTGTATTGCTTTTTTCCAAGAAAGCAATACTTTCCTGAGGGGCATACAGAAGAATTTTCTGACAGTGCATATTTCAAGTTTATTAAAAGCTAGCTTTGGTCAACAACAAGCCGAGTAAGACTTAATGGTTTGGCAATCCATTCCATTGAAAATGCAGTAACTAAAAACATTTAAAATTACCTTTTTTTTAAACAACATAAATGGCAGATTTGTAAATATACAGTGGTGGCCAAAATTGTGGACACTTTTGGAAATTTTTATATTTTTGAACTTTGTATGCTTATAGAAAATGTTATGTTTCGCAAAATGCAAACTTGTATATATCATTTTAAAGAGAATTTATTACTGAATTCAATACAAAACACAAAATTTAATTATTTGCCATACAAAAAAAGTTATTTGTACTTTAATATAAATAAAAAACACAGTTATGAAGCATTTTGTAATGTCTAGCTTTCCTGGCCAATCACTGTTCTTGTTCTGAGAACCAATCAAATGTTAGTAACTGCCAGTAGAAGCTGACATCATGTTTACACTTGAAACAATTCATTATTTTGCTTTGTTCTGTAGAAGGAGGACCTGTTTCTTATATACTGCAATTACAAGTGGGAATTTTTAAAAAATTTTTAATATTTAGTCAAGAAGCAATGACATCAAATAAAAGAGTAGATTGGACGCCTAGAAAGAGATGTAATATTATTGTGTTACGAGAAAGTGTTCTTTCCTATGCTGAAATTGCAAGAGAGGTGGGTGGTTCAGTGACTACATCTGGAGTCCGAAAGTTTTGTTTACGATATCAGGAGACAAATTCAATAAAAAACAAAGAAGGAAAAGGCCGAAAAAGGTGCACCACATGTATTGATGACTGAAAAATAAAAAGACTATGTCTTCAAGATAGAAAAATGTCATTAGCGGCCATCAGAAGTGATCTGAATGATGCTGGTGTTTCTGTCAGTTCAAGAACAATCAGGAGAAGATTAACAGATGTTGGACTGAGAGGTAGAATTCCATGAAAAAAACCTTATCTTAATTTTCAGCAACGAAAAAAAAAGACTACAGTGAGCAAAGGAACACATTAATTGGACAGATGATCAGTGGTCACAAGTTATATGGAGTGATGAAACTAAGATATCGTTATTCGGTAGTGATGGGCGAAAATATGTAAGACGTAAAATAGGGGAAGAGCTACATCCTCACTGTATTCAAGCAACTGGGAAGAACCCAGTTAGTGTAATGATTTGGTCATGCATGTCAGCAGATGGTATTGGTCGCCTTCATGTCATCGATGGGACACTGAATGCCAGAAAATACATTGACACTATTCTAGAACCAAAACTTCTCCCTTCCATCAGAGATCTCTTTTCCAACAATTCTTCGTTTATTTTTCAGCAGGATTCTGCTCCTTGCCACACGGCCAAAATATCGAAAGAGTGGTTTCGTACAAAGAGCATTAAATTGTTGTCATGGCCAGGAAACAGTCCTGACCTCAATCGTATCAAAAATTTGTGGCACCGTTTGAAAACTCTTGTCTGAATGAGGCGCCCATCAAATAAAAGGGAACTAATTGAGGCTATAATTCTTTCCTGGCATCATGTAATAACGAAAGAAGAGCTTAAAACTCTTGTCAGCTCAATGAAACGTCGATGTGAAGCCGTAATCAAAAATAAAGTGTACCCTACTAAGTACTGATAACTCACTGCAATCATCACTATCTAATGTATATCGATAACTATTATTGTTTAACTTTTTTTTGTATTGCAAATAATTGAATTTTGTGTTTTGTATTGAATTCAGTAATAAATTCTCTTTAAAATGATATATACAAGTTTGCATTTTGTGAAGCGTAACGTTTTCTATAAGCATACAAATTTCAAAAACATAAAAATTTTCAAAAGTGTCCACAATTTTGGCCACCACTGTATGTTTGCTTGCTAGATAAAGTTGTTTTTTAGGTGTAAGATTTTTTGTTTTCCATTTTATTTTAAATATTAAATTTTTATTAAAAAATAGTTAATCATACATTTTATTGATATTTTGTTTGGTGATCATTCTAATAAAGGGGCCTCAAAGAGATTTCCACCTCAAGCCTCGATAGTTGTAGGTCTGCCGCCACTGATTTCACCCCTCCATAGAATTTGTGAAAATTGCACAGAATGTTGCTATGTGCCATTGCAGAAAGTATACAGGGAGAGATGTACTGAGAAAATTGCCAGAAAAGGCCTTTTGCATTGGCAACTTGTCTGTTAGTTTAAAAAAAAATTGTATTCAGTTACTATTGCCCATGTGTGACCGCCTGAAAAATAAATTACATTTTTACTTAAGGTGCAAGTAAAGGACATATTGTAATTGCAAATAGTTTTGGGTATCACATTTCAAAAGAAATATCCAGTTTGCCCATTCCTGAATCCATTTTGACTATTTTTTGAGTGACATCTGTATGTACGGAGTTTCAAGATGGACTGTAAAATGGATTCAAAATGGATTTTTTTGTAAAGTCTTATGCATGTATGTATCTTGCATAACTCTAAAATGATTATCCACAGAACATTGAAATTTTATGTATTGGATTGCTATAACATTTAGCTGTGCACTTCCCTTTTTTCAGCAGTACAGTACCCAACCTTTATTTTTGCAATCATTGGTTGTAGTTCTATACTACCAGTTGCAGAAGTGTTTTAAATGACAAAAATATTCTTGTTTTGGCAGTGTTGTTTTTTAAAAAGAATTTATTTTAGATAAATAATGAAATGTAGTTTATAATTTTTCTGGTTCCTCTATTTATATTTGGAAACGTTTTATACTTGTTATGAAAAAATAAAAGTACAAGAAGTTTGTCTCCCATGTAAAAAAAATTAACCAAAATATTTAATTTCGAAATTTGCAATTTTTGGTGTCATTTTTGATTTGCCTTGAGTTATTGGTTAATTAAGTTACAGTGATTCAAGGAAATAAGTTTAAATGAAGTGCACCCCCCAAAAAAAAGTGTATAATTTAATTGACCTTACAAGGAAATCATATGGTGTTTACTTCAGATTTTTTAAATATAAATTTGTATTTTGGGGAATAATTTAAAATAAACAACCTTCCCTCTTTACTTCCTTGTGTAAAGTAAAAGAAGTATCGCAATCACGAAAAATTTTGGGTGTCATATTTCAGCGAAAATAGCCATTTTGACCAATGTAATAAAATATAAAGAGATAATAAAAATTTAATAAGTTACTGGTAAATAGTTAAATAATAAAATACTAGACCTCTACTTATTTGGGGCTCCAGCTGGAATTGAAGTTTCACTCAAGAAGTAAGAAATGGTTCAATTGGGCTGTGGCTCAATTTAAAGCCTGAATATACAGTATAATGTACTACTTCAAGAGATGATAGACACAGAGACCATTCTTTTCCAGCGCACCAATGAAAAAAGTTAAAATTGTTAAACTAACTAAGAACAGAGAAAATGCTGTAAACAATAACAGAGTATGAAGGAAATTGTAAAGTGGATGTGCAGGTATAAAAACAAAGAGGTCTGAGAGAGAGGATACAATTAAAGCTGTCAAGCAGAATGTGACAGAGAAAAACTTTCAATCTTCATCTTCCATATTTCATTGCATCTTTCCAAACAGTCTGCATAATCTTTTTTGCAGGATGGTACTAGAGTTAAAATGAAAAATTACTTTTCCCGGAAAAAAAACTTTTGACATGCGGGTGGGAGCTTTTCTTTTCTTAAAATTTTCACACTCTGGCTAGGGATTTGTTTCCCAGGCATGCATTCAGAAGTTAAATCAATTTTAAATTTAGTTTTATGTCTAAAATGAAATAATGTTTTCAAGATTAAAAGAATTTTCAGCTGAAATTGTGGTTCAGTTACATAAAAGAAGTACTGGAATTTTCTTGTTTAAAGCTCCGTTGCACTCTGGCTAGAACTATGATTTATCTCAAAAAAAAAAAAAAAAAAAAAAAAAAAAAAAAAAAAAAAAAATCAGAACTGGACTTTAGTGTAATTTAAGCTCTGGAGAGTTATGTGACCTGTTGGCACCTATCTGGTAGCAAGTCCCGCTGCCAGCAATCTGTTGACATTATTGAACTACATTTTCATCAACATCTGGTTTCTTATTTCTTAGAGAGTACTGTTTGGCAATCAGAATTGTCTCAATCTTCATTATAAAGTCTGATAAATAAGAATATGACTTCCTGGTTCTTATTTTAATAATATTGACCATTGTTGACTCGTATATCTCTTCCATCTTGTCTAGTTTTACTGCATAAACACTTGGAGTTTTTGTTTTAAGCAAAATATCCCTAATATGGATAGAATACTTCTACACTAATATGGATGGAAATAATGGATTACTTCTGCTTTATTTCTCAGTCAGTCTAGTAAACACACAATGCAACATGCAGTAAATTTAACAAAGATTCGAACAAATGTTTTCCCATACATATAGGGAAAAGGGTTACCAAAATATGACAGAATGCATCTTATTGGCCTGAAGTTCATATGGATAATAAAAATAAGTCAGTATCATGCTCTCTTGGTGGGGCAGATAGCAATAAAATATGACATCTTTCTAGAAGAATCCAGAACAGCTTCTCAGGTAGCTCAATGCTTATGGGAATCAGAAATGAGGATGATATTTTTGGTGATATATTGCTAAATATTATATTGCAAAAATACTAACTCTTTTAATGTAACTGTATGTTTATTAATATTGAACAGCTCTCAGCAGATAGCAGGTAATAAAATTTGGTACTTTTCTGTTTTTCTTCTAAGCCACACTACTTACTTTTTTTTAGCATATTTTTGAAGTACCAAATACCGATACGTGGTTTAGATTCTTTTCTGCCACAAGTTATCTTTCATGTTTGTGTCTGACAATTTTGATAACATTAAGCAAAGTGAAAGATAGATATCTTTCAAAATATAAATTCAGTTAACTAACTTAATATATAACTCAAAACAAAAATACGTATTTTAACAGCATTTTAATTAAGGGGACAAGGCATAATTAATTGATTGTCTGAAACTGTTATGCAAAAATTCGTTTATGTTCATATTCATGAACATGTTTCTGAAATTTATTTGACCAATACACTGTTTTGTAATTTCAATGCTTGTAAGACATCTCTCATCTCAGCATTTGTAGGAAAATCACCTATGTCATTATCATCTTGTTCAGAAAGTTTATCACTTGATGTACTCGGATTTGTTTTAGAAAGTGACAGGCAGATATCTTCTGTCATTGGAGCTGCAATTTGAATTTTTTCATCAATACTTTTTTCATATCAAGCATTCTTGTAAGTTGAAAACATTTTAATTCTTCAGCTTCAATTATCATTAATTTTTTTTGGGGGGGGGTAAAAAGCTGGCATTTTTAAAGCAATTCTTTATACTCTCTTTCTAAGACACAATTCCAAGACTTTGGCAATATCTGTAGTCTATTTCAACATTAATTAATAATTTTGTCTTTTGTTTGGTGATGTTACTTCAGTTTAAAAATTCTTTCTGTTATATAATTGCAAATCCACTTTTATGAGTTTTGTGTTACAAGGTATTTTTCATGCCTTCTTAGCAGGGTGTAGTGGTCAGCACACTCAGCACGTACTCGAGAGGTCCAAGGTTCGAGTCCTGGACAGGGCCTTGCACATTTTTCATGTCTCCTGCTTTGAAATAACCTAATGTCTCTGCAGTGGCACCCGAACTAAAAAAGGTGGTGGATAATGATTCTTCACCACAAGGATTTGGCAGTTGCGTTTCCTAATTCTCAGTCACCCTTCTTCTTAGCATGCCTTTGTGGTATGATGGTCAGTGCACTCGATATGTATTTGAGAGGTTCGAGTCCCGGTGAAGGCATTGCACATTTTTCATGTCTCCTGTTCATGTAAAACCATCTATTGTCTTTACAGTGTAAAGTCTATAATCTAGTACAGTTGGGCTAAGTGATCTTGGTAATATAAGTGGGTCGGAAGGATTCAAGAAAATTTAATCTGAGTTTTATTTTTGAGAGGTCTAAAGGTGAAGGGGCTTTAGGGATGAGATTGTGTTGAGTTTTATGAATGAAAAATTGCTTCAAATAAATCACAGCACTTAGTAAATTGGAATAATTAAATGAAAAAGGTACTGAGATATTTCTTATTATCTTCTCCTAAATTTCTCTAAATTAAATTAAATCTATATATTAATTGCCAAATAATTACCGATTGACTGAGGTCATGCTACAGTTGTTTATTGGATTAATGAAAAAGCAAATATGAATTAAGTTTGAGGAACAACACATTTGTGTTAAATTTTGCATAAAACTGAAGAACAGAAATATTTTAAATGCTTAACCATGTGATGACAGGTACTATGATTTGTTTCAACATTTGAAAGAGGGTAGAGGTTTGGTTACTGAAGATCCTAGGACTGGACAAATTTTCATGTAAATAGATGATCAAATATTTGTACTGTGCAATGTGTACACCTGGTCAGACAGTAAACAAGGAAGTCTGTTGGAGAATTCTAACATGATTGAGAGATTCTGTGTCTTGGAAGAAACGTGAGCTGTGGAGTAGTATGTTGTGCATAGCATCATGACTATGCTCAACTCACGCATAGCTTCTTGTTACCAAGACTGACAAAACCTCTTACTTTATACCCCACCATCCTTATTCTCTGGACTTGGCCCAGCAGATTTTTTTCTCTTTCAAGGAAATTTAGGAAAATTTGACAAAAGTGCTGCATGTCATAAAAAAAAAAAAAAAAAAAAAAAAAAAAAAAAAAAAGATTTTCAGAAGACATTCAAAAATGTGAAGGAAGAAATAATGGCAACAGTGTATTGACAATATAAGAGTACATTGAAGGGGATAATGATTGTATTCTGAGCAATAATGCAAGACCATCAAAGTTCAATCTTTTTTTAACAGTCTTCAGATTGCTGTTAATGACAATTCCATTTCAATAAATATGGAGTCGGAAGCATAGGGAAAGAAATCAAGGTGCACCAGTATGGTAGGCATCAAAATTGCATTGTATAGCTAACAGAAAAATACTTAAAATTTACCGTATGTCATTATGTTTCTGCTTAATTTTTTTTTTTTTTTTTTTAGTTGTAGTGTGTTCTGCTAGTATTTGAATAAAGATATTAGATGCATTCGACCTTATATCAGCTTTGTGTTTCAGCTGCCGGGAGTGCATTTTCCGAGGCTGCCTCTCTGAGATTGAAGATGGATAACAGGCACGATGCAGCATCTTGTTATATTGATGCTGGAAATTGTTATAAAAAGTCTGATCCTCATGGTAATCAATGTATTTAAGTATTTTTAAATATTTAAACAAAATTTGTACCTTGAAGAATACACATGGAGGAGTCAGAATATTAGAATTTACCTTCGTAGTTTATATGGTGTACAGCTAACCACATACATATGTAGACTAATTCCTTGGTATAAACCTAAAACAGAGTATTTAACTCAACAACTGACCATAGAGTTAATTGAACTATCCCTCTTTTAATTTCTCTCCTGTAAAACCTAATGGTTAACCATAGAGTTAATCTGAACCATTAAGTTTCTAATTTCTGTGGTGTAAATAAAATTGAAACTAACGTAGAACTATTACCCTTCTAATTTCTTTGGTGTAAAACTGAAACTGAATATTCATCCTAATGGCTAACTATGTAGTTATCAGGACTATTATCCTTCTAATTTCTGTGGTGTAAAATTGAAATTTAATATTCAAACTAACCACTAACCACAGAGTTATCTCAACTATTACCATTCTAATTTCTCTGGTGTAAAACTGAAACTGAATATTGAGCCTAATAGCTGACCACGGGGTTATACTATATGAACTGGTTGCCAAGTTAGTAGGGGTGTGGCAGATAACTTCTATTGGTTTATAACTAAAAGATAAGAGAAACTAAAATTATTGACTCATTGGTAAAACAACTGTTACAAGAGAAGGTTACATTTTGTAATATTCAAATTCTTGACAACAGGATATTTTTTCAAAACTAAATGCCTGGTCTGCTATATTATTGCTGAATTAGTAAAACCTTATCATGGCACTGTAATTAACTAACTGTAGCCATTTTATAACCATAGCAGAAATGAATGCTCAGATACAGCAGCAATGAGACAAAAGACTCTTATGCAATGCTGGATTAAGCATCTAATGGGCCTTCATAAGAGTTAAATTGAGACTGCAGTCATGCAATGTGCTTCTAATGAAATATTAAGTAATTCAAGTTACATTTTTTTTTTTAATCCTGTAAGTAGCATGACTGATTTTATCTGGTCTTGAAATTTTAGTGTATATTAATTTGTTATTCAGAATATTTTGTATTCTTTTATTCTTTAGTGATCTTATAGAAACAAACAGTAAAATAAGTAATTTTACAAATCTAGATGGTAAATATTCTTTAAATACAGCTCTTTATCAATATGTCCAAAAAGTTCAGCTGCTCAGAGGATTAATAATAAAAATATAAATATTAATGTAATAATAATTGTAAATAAAGTAGTTTCTGTCATAACACAAAATATGTGTAATTATAATCATTAATAAGTTTTTTAAATATTTAATTTTTGTTTTTTGTTTTCAGACTTTCATTGTATAAAATTATCAGTACTAGCATCTTGTCTAGTTGTTTAAAATTTTCATTTTATTTAGAAAATGTTACTAAAAAACCTTAGCCTTTCCTGCTGTATTCAGTTTTGTAAATAATTTTAAACTGGTTTTAGAACTGTTTAAGATCTTTCTCCTATAGCATTACAGGCTACAGGCATAGGTAGCTAAGTTAATTGCTAACATTATTTCAATGTAAAAAATATTTCAATATAAAAAAGAAAAAAAGGTAATGCTGTTATTTTTTATGAAGTTTTGAACTTCAAAAACTTTGTTTTCATGCTATAAATTTTGTCATATTATTTGTTACAAAAGCAGATACAACTGAGAACAGGTGAGATGTGAGCAATGGATATATGGGTACAGTAGGCACATTTGTAGTTATGTATGCACAGATCAGGTACACTGCTGAAAAAAAAAAGACAAAAAGGACAGTTCTATATCTTCTGTTGTACTGGCCTGATTGATAAAATTCAACTCGTGTTTCTCATGTCTTGAAAGCGTGTCTTACGATATATGTATTAGATTTATATATAGCATTGTTCTAACATAGGTATTTTGACACAAAATCGGACTTTTTCTGAAATGACATGCCAATTTTTTTCCATATTTCGATTCCACGACTCAAATTATGCCAAGTTTTGTAAAAATTCCACGAGTAGTTTTTAAAAAATTAGCTCTCAAAATTTAAGCTCCTCAATGTTAATTGAATTTGAAATATCTCTTTTTTTATTAAACTTACTTGATTCCTTCTTCCAGAATTCAAAATTTAGGCTTAATCCAAATATAATTCGCACATTTTTTAAGATTTATTTTTGAAATTTGTATTTTAAAATATTTTTTATAAATTTTTCGAAAAAAATTTTGTAGTATGACCCATAAAATTTTTAACATCGTCTTAAAGTAGATGTATTTCTAGGCACACCTGCAAAAAATTAAAGTTTTTTATTCAAAATTTTCTAAGATCTACATGAATTTACATATTGGAGCGTTTTGAAATTAGGCGTCTTTTTTTTAGCGATAATAATGCCAAATGTGCTTTACACACTTTGTTAAAATTACTTGAAAGTATGATCGATGACTTTTTTTTCCTGCTCTTCTACAATGAAAAAAAAAAAAAAAGAAAGGGAAAGTAGGTTGCTATAAATTAAGAAGTTCGCCAAGTAAATTATTCTTGGCGAAAACTGAAAAAAATACACTAAGATAAGTTTTTGAATTTCTCCATAAATTTCACACCAAACTTTACAAAAGTTAATATTTAACCATAATTTGAGTATTATTTAAAAGTAATAACATAAATATTATCTACTCTTAAAGATTTATTAAAATTACTTAAATTCAGATTTATTATTTTTGTGCTATTCTTATTCCCTGTTCTGAACCTAGGCCCCTCCCAACTGTACACATTTATCTTATTTGTCTATTAGTTATCTGACAGTGCTGTTATAATTAAGATTTAACTTTCTGTTTATAAACTATGCATTTGCCATAAAATTTGCATAACTTCTTCTGGCAAATATTAAAATAAAAGCCAAGGAGAATTATATGCATTATTAACAAAACATATACATATCAACAGAGGATTATATGCATTATTAACAAAACATATACAAATCAACAATGCTTATTGTTAGGTGAGAGATATAAGTTGATAATACATTTTATTGCTTTCAGTATTTTGCAGTTTAACTTTGAAAGTTGCATGTATTTCACTAATGTTAGTAAAAGCATTTCAAGAATAAAAACATTTTATATAAATTTTTTAAATATGAACTTATATATAACCTCTGTGCTTGCTGCATTAAATTCAGCTAAAATGCACTAAGTGGTTTTATAAAACTATGTGAAGGAGGCAGAGATCACAACTGATTAGTTAAAAAATGAAATCACATCCTATCATTATGCAAATGAATGTAAGCATTGGCAAAGAATAGTATCTATAATAAGAAACCAAAAATTCTACTTTGCTTCAAACTTAATGTTCAAATTGTTAAGCATTAATTGGACACTTTTTTTTTTTTTTTTTTTTTTTTTTTTGCATGTGACACATAAGTTTTAAAATACTTGGCTGTGTCAGGCTGTTGCTGTAATAAATTTTTGTTATGTTCTTATAGGTATTGTGAAAACGAATACAGTTTTTGCATGCAGTACTTAAACTGAACTAAATTGTGAAACACTTGGACCTCCCTGACGTTTACTGTATCATGCTTTTTATTTTGCTCCTTTGCTGTTTTGAAAAGAGTGATTGTTTTGTCTGTTGTGAAAAGAGATAATTTTTGCATGCAGTACTTAAATTCAAGAACTTTTAGATATATTGGACCTTAATGGTATGCTTTCCATGTTGTCTTTTTCAGTTGTGAAAAGAGCCCAAGTTTTTTTTTTCCCAGCAATGCTTAAATTCTAGAACACTTAGATCTGTCAGATTTCTATTGTTTTAACATACACCGTTTTGTTTTGCTTCCTTGCTATTGGGGAAAGGGATATAGCTTTTGCATGTAATTATTCTGGGGAACTTGGATCTGTGCATCTTCTGCTATATTACATTTTTTATTTTGCACCCTTGCTGTTTTGAAAAGGGACATAGTTTTTGCATGCAGTGCTTAAATTCTAGAATATATAGATCTATATGACTTGTATTCTATTACACTTTCTCTTTCGCTCTCTTGCTGTTGTGAAAATTAATACAGCTTTTGCATGGAACATTTAAACTGTAGAATGTTTGGACCTATCAGACTTCTATTGTATTACACTTTTTGTCCTTTTTTTATTGTGAAAAGGGAGCTGTATTTTTGCATGTGATATTTAAATTTTAGAAACTTCGATCTGTTGGATGTTTACCGTATTTTGCTTTTAGTTTTGTCCTTTTTTTTTTTTTTTTTTTTTTTTTTGTATCTTGGTGTTATGAAAAATCCAGTTTTTGCATGCCATACTTCTAGAATAATTTTAGAACACTTGAATCTCTAGGACTTTATTAAACTTTTTGTTGTAGTCTCTTGCTGTTTTTAAAAGGGCTAGAGTATTTCCATGTGGTATTTAAAGTCTTGAACCCTGGGATCTATAAGATTATTACACTTTTTTTTGGTCTTTTTATTGTGGAAAGGAGATTGTATTCTGCATATGATATTTAAATTCTAGAAACTTGGATCTATTGGACTTTTATATATTGCACTGATTCCTTTTTTTTTTTTTTTTTGTCTCTTACTGTTATGAAAAGGTTAGTTTTTGCATGTGATATTTCTGGAATTCTGGAGCACCTGTATCTATTTTGGTTTATTTTACTTTTTTTTGTTTTGTTTTTTTGCTGTTATTAAAAGGACCACAGTTTTTGTATGTGATGCTTAGATTCTATAACATTTAGAACTGTCAAAATTTTCCTGTATTAAACATTTTGTTTCATTTTTTCCCATTATGAAAATAATTGCAATCCTTAAATTCTGGAATATTAAATCAGTATAATCAAAATTTTTAATCAGTTTTCTCTTTTTCTTATAATATAATTAACTAAAACTGCCATTTTCATTTGTATACTTTTTTGTTTGTCTTAAAATATATTACTTTTAAAAATCAAAGCATGTAATTATTAGTAAAATATTTAAAATATGAATTTTTAAAGTGTTATATGTTTATATGGAGAGTTATGTACTCTTTATCTTCCATTTAGAGGCAATTAAGTGCATTCTTAAAGCAATTGAATTTTACACTGACATGGTGAGTCATGTATTATCTCCTGTTATTTTCATATAATTTAAAATAGTGTGAGGATTCATGCTTTTTTAATTTTAAATTATATAAATTTTTTCAATGCATTCATAAATATGTTTATTATTTATATTTTACCATGTAACAGGGACGTTTTACTCTTGCTGCTAAGCATCACATGACTGTTGCTGAAATCTATGAAACAGAAATGGCTGATATTGAAAAAGTAAGTGCATTAACTTTATATACTGATTCCGAAATCATAATCTTTTCAGTACCTTTTGTATTATTTTCTTCTATTCAGTATCATTCTGTTCACTATTTCAGAGTATATAGTACAAAGTCTGTAATCCGGACGTCCATTATCCGGAATGATCTATAATCCGGACCTCAAAGCTACAAACTTTTTTGGTATGCTTTACACATGCGCGTAATGCATTTACGCATGTGTGTTAATGCACGTTTAAGCATGCGCATGCATGTTGGGAGGATGTGTCTCCAGATACGTTAAAAAATTTGTGGCATAATTTATGGCCAGCTGCCATATTTCATTGTGAGGATGACGAAGATGAAAGCAGCGAATTTGAAGGTTTTCGGAAATCGCAAACTAAAGGTGAAATTTTCCAGTTATTAGATTTTGTAAAGAAATGTGGAGACGCGGTAATAAATGAAGATGATATAACAGAAGTTTTTCATTGTGACGACAATGCCCCAATCATCAATCAATTAACGGACGGCGAAATTTGTAGTATGGTTCTAGATCCAGAAAATACCGCTTCCGATAGGTGGAACTTTGTAACTGAACAAGAAATTATGTCTGTTTATAAAATTAAAGAGAAAGTATTAGCACAAAAAAATGAAACAACTTAAACAACTTACATTGAAAGAAATGTTTAGTAAAGTAAACAAATAAATATTAAGTTTTTTTTTTTTTTTTGTAAATTTTGATAATCTTTATACCATAATTGCTCTTTATTTAATAAATTACAGTTTCATATTTTTAATTGTAATTTCTGCATGCCATCTTACAAGATTTAAATTGATGTTCTATAATCCGGAAAAACCTCTAATCCGGAATCGCTGAAGTCCCAATGAGTCCGGATTACAGACTTTGTACTGTATTAAATTGATTTTTAGGAATGAATTACTGTATTTAATCATATTTCTCCTGGCCACATAATTTTTCCCATAGCATTTTCAGTGTATAACTTAGAACAGGGGTTCCCAACAGGTTCTGTACTAATCCCTGGGAATCGGTGATGATGAAGGAGTCGATAGCTGAATATGCACAGGCAACTGAACAACACAATCAAGATCCCATTTATTACATTCATATAAACACACACACATTTATATGCATATATATTGTGTGTGTATGTTAAAAATTTGTTTCATTTCAGATAATTTCGTATTAGACGAGTGCTTGACTTGAGAATACACCAATTATTTTGCTATCATAAGTGGACTAAAGTTAGAAGATCACTGAAATATCTATAACATAGTAGAAGGTGATGGGAACTTTTGAAGAATTACAAAATCACTTGATTACACATATATCTTTATTACTTGTTGATTACTGTATTCAGACACATCTTATGGCATGGCCCAGAATGAGAACAATCTGCAGCCCACAATTTTAACTATGATGCATTTCATTTTTATTAATGAATACAAGTAGCCAAGCAAGATATGCCCTTTAGCTAGCAAACTTAGGCATCAAAAGAAAGTATGCAATAGTTGCAGTACTATTTACTTATAGTCTCAGCACTTTTTTTAATCTTGCACAGCAGTTGGGTAAGAGTTTTGGCAGTGCAGCTATTGCATGGAACGTTCAGCCTTGAAGTTGTTCTACTTTAATTGAAAGTTAGAAATTTAAAAGTCTGCCAATTAAATATCTTTCAAATTCTATAATTTACACATATATATATTGTAATAAAGCAGACTCAGAAGTAATGAACAGCAGGACTTTTGATTATGTAGAATCTTGATCTGTGTTGTAAAGGTAAGTTGGTAGCTGAGGCAAATTAGTCATCTTTATTTCAATTGACATGTGTGGTCACAATTCACTTAGCACTCTGATCATGCCTATTCAAGAGCATTTACAGTTTTGATAGTGTTGTGACAGGAAGAGAGCAAACAGGCAGCTTCTTAGCAAGAACAGAGATAGAAACAAAGTATGCTGTTATCCAGTATGGCATCTTATTAAAAGAAAATTTCACATTAAGTTCTGTATTAAGTATGTCATCAGAGTTATGCAAGTCATATGATATAGATTGATCTAGAAATGACTCATTCCAGAAATACCGTCTTTTTCTGAAAATAAGCCCTATCGTGATTTTCGGAACTTTTTGTAAAATAAGACATCCTCCAAAAATAAGCCCTAGTTAAAATAATGTGACAAAAAGGATTCGTTAAAAAATGCTGTTGATTTATTAAGTAATAATATGTTTAGCTTTCCTAATACTCGTGTTTCAGAGAAATGTTTGAAACACAATATTCCGAGAAATTAATTGTTTACCTCTACAGTTCGTTTCAAATTAATTCTTGGAATTTATCTTAATCAGTTCACCGTTTGCCCCGAGAGAGATACGTTCACAGGAAAGGCATCGTCATTCGTTAGCGTCGGCAGACTCTCGTCGGGGTGAAATTTGGGCTGAACCGTAACCCCCGAGACACATACAACGCAGTGACCTTTCTCCAACCCCCACAGAATGAGTCGAAAATCAAAAGGGGTGATTGATGGGTAAAAATTTCATTGGACAAAATAACTGATAGTGATGTTTCCAATGCACTATGAACAGGCTACTTAGACAAGAAGTATTCATTTAATGATAGCTATATCGCAAGACATGAGAGATTCCAACCTATGATTCAACAGGAAATGGATTTGGAAGAAAATCAGAATATAATTCAGAATTTTATTTATGACGATGTTCCAGAAGAAGATGACATGACTGTAATTGAATAAATTAAAATTTCTGTATTTTGTGTAAAATAAATATTAAATAAAAATATATAAATATACTTTTATTTGCCCTTCACCGAAAATAAGCCTTAGCGCGTATTTTGGACCAAAAAAGAAAGTAAGATGGTGTCTTATTTTCGGAAAAAGGAAAATTCAAAGTGATGAATTAAGGAGTCGTTGCTAATTTAAATTATAATTTTGATTTACATATCTTTTAATTTTAAAAATTATTTAAATAATTAAAAAATATAAACAATGATAATATTTTAGAGCCCTATGAAAATTTTCAGTCCAAACTTTTTTGTGTTTAAGAGTCCACATAATCATATATTTTCAGGGAAGGCTTTTTCAAAACTTTATACGCAATATCAGAACTATAAAAATTTTATACATCCATTACTTATTTTCAGTAACTATAAAAAATTTCAAAATTTCATAACTCATTTTCATTATTATAACTTACGAAATTATAGTTTTTACTGTTATTATTATATTTCTAATTTTCTTATGTTATACAGAACTGAAAGACTACCACAGCTTTCACTGAATATAGATATATCTATCGGTTAGGTTTAACTTTAACTGTAACTGTATCTTGTTTAACTGACTGATGTGGTTCATCAATGGTTAAGGATTGCTGTGACAGTTGCTTATAAAGGGGCTCTGTTCCTTACATAAAGTAACTGGCCTTTGTGAACTGCACTAAAACATTTCATTATATATAAAAAAATTAAAACCTTACTCCATTATAAAAAAATAATAATTATATATGAAAAAAATTATAAGGTGGGATCTTCAAAGTTTATGTATGCAGAAGGGTAGAAGAAACAGTCATACTGAGGTAATAATAGACGTCCAGTACTGAACCAGTTCTTGTTTCTGAACCAGTACTCACTCATTATACTCTATACTTTACATTTAATTCATTGCATAATTATAACATTCATTCTTTTATAACTTGAATTTTCCCCTCTTAGCCATTTTATTTTTTAATTACATTACTCATATTCAATGCCCACACTTATAAGAAGCATTAATTTCATTTTCATATATGGAAACTTTTTTCTGAAACAAAGGCACTTATGATGTCCTGTCTGACCTATTGTAAAAAAGCAGACTTGGAATTAATAAACAGCAGGCATTTTGATTGTGTAGCTGTTGAAAAACAAATTTGGCAGTAGAGTCAAATTAAATAGTCATCTTTATTTCAATTGACATTTGCAGCTGCAATTCATCTTACACTCTAATTGTGTCTAGTCATGAGCATTTGCATTTTTGATATTGTTGCGATAGGAAGAGAGCAGCAATACAGCGTCCTAGCGAGACAGAAATAAAAGCAAAATGTACTGTTATCCATAATGGCAGCTCATTAAAAGAAAGTTTTGGTTTTTTAGTTATTAAAAGAAAGTAAATTTCAAATTAGGTACATCATAACCATTATACGAGTCTTATGATATGGATTGATCTAAAAATGATGCAGTCCAGATGTAATTACTATTTTTAGAACAGGGAGGGGAAAACCAAAATTAAAAGGAGGAATCTGCTATTGCTAAAAGGACGAATTTCCTATTTAGGGCTACTGCTAGTTTAAATAACAATTTTGATTTACGTATTTTTTTATCTTACACACTCATATACAAGTATATACGTATATGTTGTTGTGTGTGTATGGGTTCATAATAGACTGAATGCACACAAAAGTGATGATAGCTTAATAAAATTTATTTTACCAGAAGAAACAATTCACAGCTGTGGAACTTTACACAAAAGTACTTGTACAGCTCTTCACAGTGTCACAGAGTGCATTCAGTAGTTACATTTCATACTCCTAAGAATGTTAAGCAAAATGCAATCCAAAACAGATCTAAAGAGCAAAGTTCACATGGAGACATCCCAATACTCTGAACTAAACAGCAATTGCTTGAAAACTGATGCTCTCCTAGGTCTTATATAGTTTTCTTCTGGCTGTGGAGAACTTTCTAGGCATGTGAGGGCCAGATACTGTTACAGCTAAAAACATGCACCATTTAGACCAATTTATTGATGACATAGGCTGGATAGACATGAATCATATACTAGGGATTTTTTCCATTCTTATTTTTTCCTCTTTATTTTTAATACCTCATTCAAAAAGTACAGATTTTATGAAGTAGAAAATTACTTTTGAATAATCTTAAGATAAATATGCTGATTATCATTTGTAATTAACTGTTTGATTACATTGGGTTAAATTTTGTGCATATAATCAATAAAATCAAATTGTGCAAATAGTTTGCACAGTTTCAATTTCATTATTAAATTAATGAAGTTTAAATTATGCGAATTTTATTCCTGCATCCTTAGTGACCTTTAGTTTTCTTATTACATTTCATTAGATTTGAGTTGTCTTAATCTACTTAATTGTCTACTTGTATGTAATAATTAATTGATTTAATCTTTCTTAATAAATATTCAACCAATATTTAATCAGTCGATAATTGTTTTAATTTTGTTTTAATCAATACGTAGAATGATGAAATTCATTTTGAAATAGGAAACATTAAACATATCCAGTGACTTCGCTAAGATTCGAACTGCGGACATTCCAATTACATCGTGAAGGCTTTGGACCTAGTTGTCAAATCTTGATAATGAAACATTATCATATACCACATTATTGTTTGCATCAATTTAGAATGATTTTTTAGAGGCAGGAGATGCAAAAAATGTGTGATACCCTTGCAAACATTGGAACAGCCAGACCTCCTAATTGCTAGTCAGATGTTTTTTTCAATTACACCACGAAGGCATGTGATAAGGAGAGAGAAAGTATCTTACAAATATGTGGTAAATTACTAAGTTTATCGCAATAGTATTAACGTTAAATATTAATTTTATTTTTAACATGCTTGAGAGTACTTTGATAAATTAAAATTTTCCTTCCGTACTGAGAATTTTACGAATATAGAAATATAGAAAACTACTTGTTATTTAAAATATAAGAATATTAAATTAACCAAAAAATATAAAATTTGGAATATATAATTAAATATTAATGTGTTTTACATCAGAATCATTAAAATAGTTGAATAAATTGAATGATATGTTATAAAATGAATTGAATCAATTTTGAGTTCTTTTAAAAGAGTGCCATTGCATAGTATGAAAATCTAAGAACTTCCGTTTTTTGGTGAGTGAACCTTCGATTATTTATATTTCAAAGTTGGTAGCTATGCCATAAAGATTACTTTGAAAGTAATTTTGCTGATGGCTTTACAGTTTTTTTTTTTAAATACATGAAATACTACGATATGATTTTACAAACAAATTCTGCACTTCCTCAAAAAATATCTTTGTCATTTGCTCTCACACTGACATTATTTTCTTTATATCTAAATGAATTAAAGTGTATGATAGTATTATAGCATACATGGCTGATTGTGATTGTGGTTCATGATGTCATTTGGATACTGTTATCGAATAGCCAAAAGCCTGCCCATTTGTGTACGAAAACATGGAAAATACGTTATCTATTATGATCAACAGTTTGGTTAATATGATCAAAATATTATAGAATAATTTTTTGACATGAAGTAAAGCCATCAAACAGAAGATAGCAACCAAATAAGGTCAGAATGGATTAGGCAAAAAAATCAACCGTAGTTTGGCGTAGATTGTAAATAACTGTATTGATTCTGAGAGTGGTCAGATACAGGCACCTCTTCTTCTTAATATTTGCAACAAGTTTTACATTTGCATGTTTGTTCTCTTCCAGTGAATGATGGATGTGCTCCGAATACTAAGATTATAGATCAGTAAAATTATTTCCAAAAATGACGTGAACACTTCATAAGTGAACTTTTGCTTTAGAAATGTTATGAACAATTAATCAACAAATTTGTTGCATTTTCTTAATTGAAATTCTGTGAAAGTACCTTTTTATGTGTTTCTAGTTATATATTTTATTAAATTAAGTAAATTCCATTGCTGTTTGGAGGGATATTTTTTCTCATCATTTGTTATCAAAATAGCTATGAACAAGTATGATCACATTAAGTAGCACCTGTTAAAATTAAAAATAGGAAAATTTAAACAAAGCCTTATTTATATATTTGATCTATAATTTGCAAAATTATGTAATCAGAACAAGCTTTGATTGCAAAAGTGCGTAGATTATAAAAATTCTGCTGTAATAATATTGGTATTTAATAACAGTAAAAGTCTGACTATCTGGCATTCAACTAACCAAAAAGCTTAAGTAACTGGAATACTTAAGAATTTGATTAATTTTTTCCCCTCTAAAAGATTTAATAAATTAGAGATTTTTACTCTGATTTTAGAGCATGTATACATTGTTGCCAAACATTATGATTTAGAGCTAATAATGGATAGTCATGACGTCGCAACACACTCGTAGGACATTTGTTTTGGTTTTATATAAATTTGACTAATTCTTTATAAGCTGGTTAAATTTTTGTAAAGTTCTATTTCCTCCTTGCATTTTGAAAACATGATTAATATTTGGAACTGCATGAAGTGGACTCTTTTCAGAGTTATATGATCCTGGCATAAAAAAAAGCCACAATGCAAAAACAGGTAAACAATAGTGATTTAATGTGAAAAAATATGAAAGTGATTTAAGTTTTTTATTCTATATCCATAATTCATATTTCTTTATGATCAAACTAAGTAAATAATAAAATGTTCATTTAAGCTTCTGTCAGAATTATTGGTGACATATACACCAACTTTCATGTTTGGTGGAATTTTGCAATTGGATGAGGCCTACAAAATACATCGGCTTTTATAAGACTGAAATGCTTTTTTCTCCCAAAATTTTAATTTTAAATGTAGGCTTTTGATATTCAAGTTGACAATAAATAATTGTTTTTTTAATTTTAGAGAAAAAAAAAATTTCCCTATAATTTGGCTTTTGTAATATGAATTCTCTTTCTTATATGCTCAACTAGCCAGAATTTTGACATATCTGGAAATCAACATTTCTTGAGCTTTATGGATTTACCAAACTTGCAAGAAAATTACTTCTGATTTGCTTGATTGAAAATTACTGGTGATTTTTACCAAACTTGCAAGAAAAGAATAAAAATAAAAATCTGATGCTACTGAAAATATAATTTTGTTATTACAGTACAAAGTCTGAGATCCAGATTTGTCATTACATCAGTGATTCTGGATTTTATATCAGCTCAAATCTAGTAAGATGACATAGAAATTATAAAATTAAAAATATGAAATAGTTTTTAATCACACAAAAAAAGTTCAGTATTTTATTTCTTTGTTTTATCAACATCAATATTAGTTGTTTAAACTACTTCATATAATTTGTGTTATGATTTAGCCCACCTGATTGACATTGAGATCAGATCAGGTCTCTGAAATCAGAGTAATCCCACGAAATTCATCATGGCAAGGAGTCAAGATTGTGCATGTCAGTGGCAAGAGTCTTGGGCGTGCCATACAGGTGACAGTATAATTGTGCCCAGTTCTGCCTCCAGTTTTGATGGATCCAAGCATCTCCCAACCCTCTTTCTCTTCCACCAACCTCTTGAAAGGACTTCGGCTCACTGCATATTTAGAGTACCCCATGCCACAGAGACATACATTTACAAACATCCATGCCCTCTCTGAGGTTTGAACCCAGGCCCTTCGATATGGCAGTTAGCATCGCTAATCACTATCCTGGTCAGGTAGCGCTTATAATTTCATGTTCAGTAACGAAGTTCCATTGTTTAAGTCCTGTAATTTCTGGGTCAAGAATTCCCACTAAATTGTCAGTTGAAATCTTTTGTTCTCAGCAACCGTTTTTGTCACTTTCTTCTTTATCAATAACAATATGTTCTGCATTTAGCACTATGTTACAGATTTCGAATAGTGTCTCATTTTAGCATATCTTATTGCTTAACTATTGTCCTCTATGCACTGTTGGTGGTGTATCAGAAGATTGGCGTTTCAAGACATGTTGTTCTGCTTATTTCCTGCACTTGCTTATCTGAGTTCCAAATGAATAAATTTCAGCTCACACTTAAGGCCTATCTGAATAGCAAATCAGTGATTTTTAATTCAAACAGCATTAAATGTAATATCTAATCTTTTCGCCTAAGAATGTCATTTACAAAATCTCTTCCTGCGTATAGAGAGAGATTTCTTTTCTGTTTCTTCTTGCCAACACACTTAACACTTTGTGGTACAGTTGGTTGAAGTCGGTAATTGTTGCCAAGGTTAAGTTCAACGTAAGATTTACCATGCTGTTTGGTATTCAGTTACTAATATTGAAAAACAAAAAGTTTTAGACTTTGAGTCATTTTTCAAGCTTTTATGACTTCATAGTCATGGGCTGATGAAAGTAAAAAGTAATAAAAAATTATTGCTAGTTTGGCATCTGGGATATTAGTCATGCATGTCATTTACAAAATCACTTTACTACGTATGGAAAGAAATTTCTCTTCAGTTTCTTCTTTTCAACATACTCAGCACTTTGTGGTGCAGTTGGTTGAAGTGTATAATCGCTGCCAAGCATAAGATCAGTGTAAGATTTACCATCCTGTTTGGTATTCAGTTGCTAATATTGGGAAAAAAAATGTTTTAGACATTGTGAGTCATTTTTCAAGCTGCTGTGAGTTAATAGTCATGTGCTGATGAAAGTAAAAAGTAAAAAAAAAATATTGCCAGGTTGGCATCTGGGATTATTAGTCATGCAGGTGTAAAATTAGTGATAAACTTTTGTAGAATGTTTCAACTTGAGGCGTATGTCATGTAAAAAGGTATTATAGAGCTAACCAATTATTCATTGTATAGGAATAATAAATGATTGTGTTTTCTTAGCATGAAAGTGTTTTATTTAGTGCTGAACTGAAATTAAAAATCAGAAACCTTTCAGTTACTTTATTACAAAAAAATATCTAATGTGCATGTGTAATGCATTAAGCATATACTCAAACGACACACTACATTCAGAATCTTTTTCCTTTCTCCTTTTTTGAAAAATGATTTCTTAAAAATTGTTGGAGGTCCAGATATTAGATCATTAGAGCCTTTCAGATACTACGCATCTGGATTTCAGGTACTGGGCATCCAGAAATTCCTTTTAAATTTCTCTTTGCATGTGTAATGTATATATTATTTTATATAGGAAAAAATGGTATTTTCTCTTTTTTTCACCATAATGTAATAAACATATTGTTTGAGTAAATACTGATTTTATAAACTTTAATTTTTCATTTACAGGCTATGCATCACTATGAACAAGCAGCAGATTATTTTAGAGGTGAAGAATCAAACAGGTAATAAGAAAAATTTTCTTATATCAAATTCATGGATAAATAACCATGGTATATCATAAATGCAATGATTAGTATATCAAAATTGCCAACTCTCCCAGTTTTACTGAGAGATTCTGTTCTATTTTACATGCTGACCCATGAATGCAGGCTACAACTGATTCACATGCCCTCCATGGAGCATAATATATTGAATAGCATAGAGAGGAATCCGAGTATTAGCATACATACCATTGCTACTGCCAGGAGAATCTCAGAATAGTTTATGTCATGTTTTGCGAGCCAAATTCTTGAACCATATCATCTTTAAAGGGTATAGCCATTGCTCCCTGCAGATCATCCTACACATGTGCATTTTCTGCAAGGATATCGCCACCATTGTCCCCAAGATGCTCATTTCCCATGTTATGCTTTATTTACCGGTGAAGTGTATTTCATGGTAGATGGTGTGTCTAACACAGGGCACATTTATGGAATCGTGTGAAAATCCATAGAGTGAGACCTCATGATGCCCAACATCACATCTCAGTGAATGTTTGGGCTGGTTTGGTTGGCGACTGCATAGTTAGCCCTTACCTGTCGCCATCACCTATGACATCGGCAAATTATCTCATCCTTTTGAAAGATATTATACCAGGCTTATATCACATTGTGCCACAAAATTGGACATGCAACAGGCACACCAGCGGCCGAGCGGTAAAGTCGCTGAACACTGGTAGTTCGGTCCGAGGTTCGAATTATGCGAACGGGCTGGCTGCATGGGCGTTTTCGTAGTTTTCCCCATGTGTAACGTGTATATGAGCCAGTTTCCATTAGAAAGTCCTCCACGAAGGCATCCCTTCTCTTAGGCAGGTAGCCCTCGAGGCTTTGCCATAATCACACACACACACACACACACACACACACACTGGACATGCAACATGTCGTTTCAGCATGATGCACTAGCTCCCCATTATGTAAGCTATGTTCGGAGATATTTTAGTGTGTCATTTGGTCAGCTATCAGTTAGGCATGGTGGACTGGTTGCCTGGTCCCCCCCTTTTTTTTTGAACATCCTAGATTTCTTTCTGTGGGGGGGGGCACATAAAACTTTGTATAGGAAACACCTGTTAAGTCTGAAATGGATCTGGTTGCAAGAATCGATATCCAAGCAAATCCAAGTGATTTGGTTGTGTCGGACAATCCAGGGTCCATTGGTTATAATAGTAGGAACATTGGAATATTTTTGGTAACATATCGAAATGGTACCATTTATTTACTACAGCATATGCTATATTTATGAGCAATAAATACTTCTGATAATCTCTTTTGTGTCCTTTCATTTTTTATACACTCTGTGCTGTACCTCCACTTAAAGTGCGGTAAAAGTTCGATCATCCAGAAAGCTTAAAAACGCCAAATTTTTTATATGCAAAAATTTGAAATGATTGAATGTAAAAATGCAGATCATGTTAGAAAAGCAAAATAAATAGAGAGGAACCTTGGTCTAAAATTATAAAGAGTAATTTTTTTGTTAATATAATTATTTGTTAATATTAAACACTTACATTTAAATTATGTAAGATTCTGGGAAGAGAAAAGGTCATTCCAGGCATAACCATCATAGTAAAACATATTCTGTTGTGAAATTCCAATGACCATGAAATGTGGCAGTGATCTTGCTGCCAATCTCAAAGATATATGGTATATGGATTCTTATTTCCTCAATGATTATTTGTAAATTAAAATATTTGTTTTAATAACATATTAGTAATTTTAGTGATACTTCTGGAGTAATGAAATGAAAATTTCTAATTAAATATACAGTTTACAAGAAGTATTTTTAATTATTCAGCTTTTAATATTTGTGGATTTTAAGTTAAATGTAATTAATTTAATTTTTAAGTAAATTAAATATAATTAAATTAAATACATTTAACTGTTAATTAAAAATTAACCCACAGTTAATTAAAAAACATGCCTTGCATGTTCATAGAAATATCACTCATGCTGTGATTACTGATAAGTTTTGCTGTAGGTTGGAGTTTATGGTTATATCGAAAAACACCCAGTTTTTCATTACCTCTCCCATTCTTATGATAGATCACCAAAATTATTTGTTTTTAATTCTTAACCTCTATTAAGGGAAATGCTTCCAAGTGATAAGAAATGTATTGAATTAATGAAATTCAATTTTTGCTATTTCTGTTGCTGTATTCTTAGTGATTTTTTTGCATAATTTTTCGTTTTCAATATTATTTGATCAAATTTGTTGTTAATCTATTGTAGACATTTGTAGAGTTTTTATGAAGATATAATCAATGTTTAATTTGTATTTAATTTTGTTTTATATCAATAAATAGTACATTACTACATCTCTCTGAGCAGTTTTATGCAAATTAATTTACTGTTAACTTAACAATTGTTAATTTTATTTTCATCATATTTAAAAGCACTTTGATACTGAAAAACTTGTCTTCTTTACTTGGGAATTTAATGGTGCAAAGGTGAAAGAAAATTTAAAAATGAAATTAGCCGAAGGAAAAAAATTCAGAATATTTAACTAAATGGTAGTAATCATGAGTAGTTCAATGACTCAAATCATGCATTATAATTTAAGTCAGTTTTTAATTCTTTGGAAATTGATCATGTATTATGAAAACCTTCTGAAAAGTCATGATTTCTACTCTTTGAAGTGGGTTATAAAGAGTTCTCATTCTGCTGGAAATTTACAAAAAGTCAACTAAAATATGTATCTTTTTCAAAAACATCAGGAAAAATATGAAGTTATAGCAAAAAATCAGAAATTAAAATGTACAGATGCACGCTGTCAAACAATAAGTAAAAAATTAATACATGTTTTAAATTGTACACAGTAAGCAAAAATTGTACGTCTTAAACAGACAGCAAATTACCATACACTTGTTTTTCTTGTGAAAAGTATTTTTAACTCGCCTTGTTCTCTGACTCTATTTTATCAACCCATAGTTTGCTTCTCTATTTTCTGTCTGTTTTGAGAAATTTAAGTATTTTATTTCTCCCCCTTTTAGATGGGTTATTTTGTTATTCAGAAATAATTAGGGTAATTAAGAAATCATGGGACATTGTGGTTTAACATTATAATAAATAATTCTGATAATTTATACATGTTTTTCAATCCAAAGTAATTTTAGATTTCTCTTTTAATTTTAAAGCACCAAAAGTGTTATACTTATTATGATGATATATTATTATAAATTCCTTTTGCAGAATGAAAATTTTTTTGAGAATTTGGTAATTTTTAAAACCTTACCTACTTTTCTAAATGGGTTAGATGCTTATTTGATATATTCTTTCGTGTGCTGTGCGATAATGAGTAAGATAAATTTTTATATTCTTCCATTGTACAAGGTATCTGTGGAAAAAGACTTAATCAAAATATTTTATTTTTTAAAAAGCAGAAAATACAAGTAATTTTGTATGAAAGAAAAAATTCAAAATAATTATAGAAATTGCATAAAATAAAAAGTGTAAATTTAGTGATATGGCACACTTTACCAGAAGTTGCCACACTTTATTGCTTCTTTCACTTGCTAAAACCTTGCAATAGCTTTTGAAAAAAGGTTAAAGGTTAAATTTTCTTAAAAGTGTCCTGTTTATGAGGATTGTCATTAAATCAGAGGTATGTTACACCAGTCTTAGAAAATCATTGTGGAAATATTTTCTTCAATTTGAACATTTGCTCAGTGCCCCTAATAGCGATTGTCTCCATAATGACTTTAGCTATCTTTTTATTATTATAAATTTTATTATGAAGTTTTCCTCTTAAAGGCCTTATGTCTCAAAAATCATTATTTTTATTTTATTTTAATATGAAATTTAATTGTTTTTATCCTTCTTTTCTTTTCTGGACATGGGCATGTTTCATGCCATTGGATTAGAAGCATTAAAAATCACTTTTAATTTTTCATGATTGAATGCTTCACATTTTATTTTATAATTTTGCTGCAGTAATCTGTTTTAAAGAGACACTGCAATGCAGTTCGGTGATTTTTCCTGTACTAATTTGTGAAATTTTTATTTTAAAGAAACAAAATTAACTAGGTATTCTGAGGTAGAGAAAAAATTAAGAAAGTGCTCCCATGAGCCCACTATAGCTCAACCCTTAATATAGCTATATTTTGTCATTGTATTAGAATAAAAGATTAAAATACTGTTTTAAAGAATGTATTATTTATTATGTTATAAAATATACCTATGCAGAAAAAAATTTCCCTTACAATTACATGTGCATGGTAACTCCAAGATATCATGTTCTCTGTGAATAATTTTCTGGATAATATGTAAGACTTTCTTGTACTGTTACATGAAAGTTATCACCCAACACACACATAATGTAGCAAACACTTGTCTTTCAAATTCATAAAAACAACTTTTTTTTGGTTGGAGGAATTAAAAGTGTTGCCTTTGAGCATTGCCATCTAACCATAGTGAACTCAAGATGCACATAGTCCTGGTTATTGCATGAGTCGCATCCACTATGCTTAAATATGTATGGGTTGAAGTTGACTGCAGACTGGACATATGTTGCTGGAGAAATGAATCTATGATACAGCATTGTTCTCAAATGGACACCCCACAGACCACATACCTACACCAAACATGACCCGTGAATACATTTCCCATAAGTTATTTAGCATTATTTTGTGATTAGCTGCTATGACAAGGATTTGAAGAAAATGTTTAAGATTTCTTCTTAAACATTTTCTTCAATTAATGGCTTAAAAGATTTCATTGTCATTATGAAGAAAACATTTAAGATTTTAATGGCTTAAAAGACTTCATTGTCGTTAAAAACAAATTTGAGCACCACCCAGAAAATCTACAAATGGTCATGATGGTTAATTTATGCTGTGAGATAAACCTACTTCAAAGATTTTAAGGTACAGATTTGATTAACTTGTTTACATACCTGACCAAAAGATAAATTCCCTCGATTATGAATTTTTGCATTAAGAATAATGCACTTTGTTTAAGAGTACATTTGTATTTGAACAGTTTTTTTTTCCTGTTAAAAAAGAAATTAATAAATCCAAGAAAAGAACCTGATTAACTTATGAAAAAAACATTTACAATTCGTGGCAGTAGTAGTTCTAGTAATTTTTTCTCAGGATTCTAAACTTCATTGAAATAGAAATGCATGAAGGTAAACTTGTTTAAGTAGGTAAAAGTTGTATTAAGAAATAAAGAAGCTTATAATTATTTGCATGCAGATATGTATAATTTTTTCTGTATGCTTCAAAGAAAATTTTAGTAAATAAAAGAATGAGAATGGGTTGACATTATTTATTCTCAAGTTTTCTTCCACCTGGAAAGTCTTTCTAATTTGCTTATTTTTAAGGATATATCATTATATCAGGATTATTTGAAATAAACATCAGTCTGAAAATTCAAATTTAACAGTCAGTATGTTTGAATTACTAAGTGTTGCTGACAGAAATTTCTTGCAGATACCAACCTTTAGATTTCAGACAGAAAATAAATGTAAATTTATTGGGAGTTCATGGTGAATGGGGTCATAAATGAGTCCTTTATCATGTAACAGTAATTTATTATAAGAATTAAGTTACACACCAATATTAAATATAATTTTAAGATTTTACAGAGCAGGGGGTCTGCTGCAACCTAACAGGTTTCATCTGGCATTTACTGAAGTTTTGTTCTAACTACTCACCAGAGGGCACCCTACTCTCGTTACTAGAGTGAGTCCACCGTACTTTATAGTATCAATAGTGGTTACAAACTCCCCCTCTAGCTCCACTGATGTTCTGACAGAACTTGAGAGCTTTTCTAATACTGTCTTGTCCCTACTGTAGGTTTTTTTGTTTCCTGGGCAAGGGGACATCTTTTTGAGGCATTGTCTGGAAATCAAGTTCTTGATTAGTAAGCTAATGCAAAGTAACCTTTGACAATCGACTTTTCTTCCTAAATGGAATAATGGGAGAAGTGCATGTGTCTTCAAAAGGCATTAGTGTGGACGTATGGTGTGTCCCTAAGGGTTCTGATAATTTATGAAGGCTTGAAATGACAGGAAATAGGAATAGTGCCATTATCAAGTATGAACCATTACATTTTGGCATGAACTTTGAGGTCTTTTTTCCCCATTTTCTGCATTATGGGATGCAGAGTGACCCAAACTTTATCACCTGGTGAATAAAAACACTTGCCGCCGTGTTTTGTCATATTGCTTTTTATGCTGATCTCGCTTCATTTCGATATGTTCTCGTATGCCCTTTCTAACAGTTGTGAATTGTTTAAGATACAGGGTGATTTCAGGAACAGAGTTATCATTTTTGACTACAGCCTTCACATCGTGTATGATGTCATCAACAGGCTTCAGCTCTTTTCCAAACATTCGGAATGCTGATGTATGGCCTGTAGAGTCACAGTAGGTCGTATCCATTGCAAAATGAATAATTGGGAATTTTAAATGTCAGTTCTTATGCGCATCTCATACAGGGATAGCAAGATGAGGTTTTAGGTCTCTGTTTCTCTGTTCCACAGGATTTGATCAAGGAAAGTAAATTGGTAAAGTTTTGATTGATAATTATTGTAAAAATAACTTTTTTTTTTTTTTTTTTAAAGAAAGCTTACTTCAAGACGACACTAATAAATTTAATTCTGTTATTGCTGATGATTCTTCGTGGTATACCATGCCACATGAGTACTTCCTTGATGAGGGTTATCGTGCAGTCATGTGCTGCAGCTTGAGCAAGAGGAAGCAATTCAACCCATCACGTAGTATAGTCTTTGACAATGAAGATCCATTATTTTTCAATGTCAGTTTGTGGCAATGGTCCAAACAAGTCTATAGAGATGATCTCAAAGCATTGGGAATAAACAGAGGTTCTTAGCAATCCGGCTGGCTTTTGGTTGGTAGCCATGTAGTAGTTGCTTGGATTCAGGACAGCTTTTAACATAGTCGGATGTATGCTTTTTCGTGCCAGCCCCTTTGTTTTGTAGCATCTGGCTATTCTTTGGAGTCTTCCTTGCTCTCCATAATGTCTGGCTATCAAGTCTTCATGGTGCTTTCGCATGATGGATTCATGCTTGGCAGTTTGGATGACTAACTGGGCCTTTTCTGAATCAGAGTCAGGAACGTATCAGTAGAGAACACCTTGATTCATTAAGAATCCATGTCCAGCCCAGTTGGAATATTGTTCTGTTTTCTGAGTAGATTAGAAATTTTCATCTTTAATTTGAGATTCGCACATGTCTTTTGGACTTCTCGTAGGAATGTCAATTACAGATAATTTGAAATCTCACAAGGGGAACTTCGTGTTCAGAAATTGGGCAGACGGTGTGTCTGCAATGGTGTTTCCCAAGCATGCAGTGAAAGAATCCTTATAGGAAGCATATAAATCAATGACTATATATATAAATTTCCACTTTGCCATTGAATGCTTTCAAAAATTTTCTATTTTGAATTTGAAACTTAAATCTACAACACAGTAAATTGTAAAGAAGTTTTTATGGATAAATTAAAAAAATATATATTTATTGCCTCCCCCCCCCCCCCCGAATATCAAGAATGCATGTGATTTCATAACTTCCAAATTAAAAAAATTTAAATCTTCTGAACAGTTTAATAATCCTACTTTTTATTCTATGTGGATGTAAAATTATATCTTTTATCTCTGTATTTGAAAATTTCTTCTTATTTTGTTTTTTTCTTATAGTATATGTATTATAACATGTCTAAATTTACATTTATTTGCAGTTCTGCCAATAAATGCATGTTGAGTGTCGCCAAGTATGCAGCTCAATTAGAGCAGTACGAGAAAGCCATTAATATATATGAACAGGTAAATATTTTGTGCATAATAGACATATTCATATTTAAGCAAAAAGTAAAGGAAAGTTATTTTCATTAATGAAAATGTGTACTTTATGTTTCCAGTTATTTAAAATAATGTTTGTGCATATTAAATCTGATAAGTTAAATGGTATTAAAGCTACTGATTTCATTTCTAAAATAAAAATTGCAATATCATTTTAATTTTGTTGTATTTGATGTATTATGTTTGGACCTACCATTTGTACCTTCCTATGATTTGATTTTAATGTTAAAAGGTCCCTATTTTTGCACAAAAATCTCCCCCCCTTTTTTTTCATATTTCAAGGTTGGCAGGCTTATGAATACAACTTAAAAAAAATAATAATAAATAAGGAGAATTCAGTCATTTAAAAATCTTACATTTGCACTTAACCACAACTTAGGAAAATACTATCATTTTTTCATTCTCATTTATCTGGAAGGTATATTTATAAAATTCTGTGTAATTTAACCTGAATTCTTTTCAATTTTAGGTTGGAGAAGCTTCTCTGGCTAGTCCCTTGATGAAATATAGTGCTAAAGAATATTACTTCTGTGCTGTTCTTTTACATATGTGTGTGGATGTTTTAAATGCCCAAGTAAGCAAATATACATAGATAGTTAATCTCGATTTGAAATATATCATGCTATTTTTCAGCTATTTCATATATGCAGAGGTCTCAAAAAATAGTTTTAGGCAATTAAATTATATTTGACTCCTACATATTTTAGTTTCCTACAAAGTGTTTTCCATCAATACATTTCTTTCCAACATTTGTCCACTACTGGAAACATGGAAATGGTTTTAGAATACTTGGCATGGCATGTTATTCAAGGACATAACATATTTTCTTATATCTCATCTACCTCAATAACTTTTTTTATTTGTGATACTAGAAAACGGTGCATTCAGCAAGAACATTTGGTAAGTAGCAGCAAGGAGACACAAGAACCAAGTTGTTCTTCCTTAGCATTAAACAGTCAAGCGTTTTTGTAGAAAAATCGTGATGCTGTTGTTTTGACGATCCTTGATAGCTTCTTGCAGTTTTTCCTTGTTTCTGCTCGTCAATAACTGTGCAAATTTCAGCAATCTTTATTTGACGTATCATAATTTTTATTGATATTGCAATAGTGAGACTTTACCACTCATATGTTTGTGATTTACTCAAATCATCACATTTAAAGGTTTGACAAAGTGTAATAACAGTTTTGGCTGCAGTCTCTTTAACAAAAAACAAAACTATATATGTGTGTGTGATATTTCGGCATCAAAGTTCAGGCATGGTTTTTTTCAGAGTGGTAAGGCTAATCCAAATGAAGAGGCAAGTTGATTTAGTTTTTAATGGTACGTCTTTATTCCATAGCTTTTATTCAATTAATAATGTAGATCATTTATTTGTTACTAAATAAGAGTATTTAAACTTTAATGTGTCATAACTTATTCTAGCAAAGAGAGCAAGCGCAGTAGCATAGACTAAAGGCACAGAGAGAGGAAAACTTCTGAAGCAAAATGGCGCACATTCGTTATTTATAGTAGAGGTTATGTAATAGGCTAGCAAATTCTAGAAGGTACTGGTCTAGGGGGAAGATCCTGAATTGCAGAAAGTTAATTAAAAGTTGCGTGTTTGCGAAAAGCAAAGCCATCGTATTTTTTTATATTTTACATCCCCCTCTCAAAACAAGAGATCGAGTGAGCAAAGCATTAGTAGATTAGCGAAGCAGAAAGTAGGAGGAAAGACATAAAGAAACAAAAATGTAAAAGATTAAATAAGCAGTGTAAATTAATTTCCCTTCTCTATTCTAAAAATAGTAACCTCTCTCTGCACTGCGTCATTTTCGAGACTATTTTATGTCATATGTTTCTTACATAATTATGATGATGTAAATGGAACTTAAACTCAACCAGCCAATAATAATTTTACAGCAATATTAACCATCAAATCAAAATGCTTTGAAAACCAAAACTAACTCAGTCTGACTTGAGATTTCATCCTGAACATTACGCACTTGCTTTCCACGCCTAGCTACACTGCTGTCTGTCTGGTGCTGCTTTCTTGCTACAAAGTTATCGAAAATATAAGCCTTTTGGAACAGGCACATTTAATGTGCCGACTTGTGTGTAACCCCAACATGTTGCTAAAGATATAACTGAAGGTTTAATCTGCCTTCGCCATCCAAATTCCTGCTCCTGAATTTATTACACCTGAGTTGACAGGATACATGTCCTGTGCGTTGGAATTCCAGTGGAAATGCCATCGCAGTGTCTACAATAACCAACCATATCTTCAAACTTCCATATGTAACGGAAATTCATAATGCATATCGAGTATCTGCTAGTCCAAAAGTGCTAATGTCAGTGAAAACAAAGTGTGCAGCCATCTCTTAAATTTTTAGGGGGGAAAAAGTGTTTTACATCATCAAAGTGTGCCTTTGCTTCACAGAAATCTTATCATCGAAATTATGGCTACGATTGTGAAAGCGAATTAGTTAATTAATGCCTTCATGTTCTAATCTTCAAGATATTTATGGGTTCGTCAATCTATGTGCGCATGTGATTTAATAAGTCCAACATAATTCAACAGCAATATAAAAAATGTGGGAAAAAAATCGAATAATAGATTTGCTGCAAGTGCTTAAAAATGAAATCTAGAGCCAGCCTTCTATTCAATTCAAATTAATTCAGCATTTGTTTGCAGTAAAATAACAAATGTTTTCCGAGTGCTGACGTTTCAAATCATTCCAGTGCTTTCAAGGTCATCGAACTGCATATCTTAATATGGCTCTAATGCGAATAAATTAGGATTAGATTTACACTTGAAGTAGGTGGCAGAAAGTTGTTTTCGCTTCTGCTTTTGCATATTTAAATCTCCATTGGGAACTGATATTTTTTTAATAAATTGGACATTAAAATGTAATTTAATGATATTAGAAATTTGAATTCTAATAATTTAGAAAAGTAAATAAGTAATTAGATTTTTAGGGAAGGCTATTAAGATAAAGATAAGTTTTTTATATTTTTAAAATTTTGTTGAAAATTTTGAATACGAATTTTATAATTATTCTAAAAATGATGTAGATGTAAAAAATAAGTGATATTAGTACAGGTAAGTAATATGAAATTATGGTAAATGCACGTAAAAATTTATGGGTGATTGTGTGTTAAGTATGCAGTATGTTAACCCTTTAACGGTTTGACCTGGATTTTTTCGTTCTTTTATGCAAGCTCCTCCAATTCCTACGATTTCTCCCGTAATATTGTCATTTTAAATATCTCCTTGAAAACGGACTGACCCGTCTTTTTGTTAGACTTAAAAGAAACGTCAAAAATGGATACCCCGGATTTTTGTCTCACTTTCACCCCCAAGTGTCTAAGGGGACAAGCATCCCTCCAACCCTGATGACAATAGTTAATGAATGACCCTCAATAGCACGGGAAGTTTTACGATCAAGAACTCTTCTTGATGATGTACGATAACGGCGACCTTACACTGGTTCTAAAGTAATAAGAAATTTGTTACCAGTTAGAAAGTTAATGAAAGAGGAAATAAGAATTTCTGTTTTAGACGTTGTTTAAGAAATAATAATAATAAAAATAATAATACAAAAAGGAGATTTTTTATAAAATAAGCTTTTGTTTATAACTCAAATAATTAATAAATTAAAAAAAGAAAAGTAATTTTGGTATTGGAAGGAATTCAGGAATGTATGTATGCACGTCGTGCATAAGTCTGTGTATTTATATGTGTGTAAGCACATGTGTACGTTCATATGTATATATATGCACATACATGAACACATACATCCGTATATACATGCACACATACATATATTTTTTAATCCGATCCCGATAACAGAAGAGTACCGTAATTTATTATATAGATTAATAGGAATAAGAGATTAAATAATATTCTTTACAAAATTCATTTACAAATTTATATCATGAATAATAAAAAAAAAAGTCGCACACTATATATATTTTTGACATTGGAAATCGACTGTTTGATTTCGTTATTTAAGTGTCTGCACTTTATAATCCTTGATATAAATTGCACATAAATATTGTAAAGATGTTTAATTAATCTCTTGTTCCCATTAAAATATGCCATAAATTATTTTTGCCTTTGGCTTATTAAGAATTTTATAAGTTTTGAATAAAAGCTTATGTTATAAAACTTTTAAAATTTTTATCTTCTTAATCTTAATAACTCATTTTCAATGAAAATTTTCAATTGAAAAATCATTTTTCAAAAATGAGTAAAAATTTTTTTACTTCCACTAAAGTAAATGAATATCAATGAATAATATTTCTTTTTTTTTTTTTTTTACTTCCAATAAATGCCTCAAATAATCGAAAACATTTTCTGACTTTTCACTCAGAAATCAGAAGTTATGTTAAAAATATCATACAAATTTCAATAAAAAGAATATTTTACATCAGTGCAAACGTTGAAGTTTTACTTTTGTAGTTTGTCTTGCAAATGAAATATCTGCAAAAATCGTGTCAATATTAAATTTAAAAAAAAAATAAAATTTTAAAATTTTAAAAAAATTAAAAAAATTTAATGGAATTTTATAAAATTTGTTTTACCATATTGTATTATCATCTGCAATCAATATGTTTACAAAATTTGAACTTGATAGCTTATCAGGAAGTAATATAAAAATCTTCTGTTCATAGCCCCAAATCGACCTTCTGTTCATAGCCCCAAATATCACGAGTTAACTAAATATGTGCTACTTCTTTGCAGAAATATTATGCTGTTTGAAAGAGGTCATCAGAAGAAATTTCGCATATTTTTAATTATTTATATAACTACTTATACTTCGTGCATTTTGCAGCAATTCTTTCATTTAAAACATTTTTTTGCCTCTCCCACACTTAATGATCTTATCACCATTCTGATGAATCTCGAAGGCTCTGAAAAACCAAACTTTGAGTAGGTTCTCATAAATTTAACTTGATAAATACTATAAAAATACAACTGTTCTTATATGAGTAGAATTTATCGCCCGATGGAAAGGTTTTGCTAGATTCCTTTAGTAATCGGTAAAGTTTTATATTGATTTTAGGTTCTTTTTTCTTAATTTTCAGTTGTTGTTGCCCTACCACAACCTTTCGAGAGGACTTTCGGCTCACTGCATATTTAAAGTGCTCCATGTTGCACGGACACTATACATTTACAAACATTCATCCTTCTCTGGGATTCGAGCCGGACCCTTCGATACGGCAGTCAGCGACGCTAACCACTATACCAGCTGGGCTGCAATTTTCAGTTGTTCGTGAGTCCACTAAAAAGCTCTGCTGCTTAAAATGTCAAGTGCTTAAAAATATTTGCAGTCTAAAGCAAATTCGATATTTACATGTTTTTACCTTAATATTTCTTTACAAAGATAGAATGATAGCTGTCAATACAGACGGGTTTAATGTATTTGGATTACGGCAAAGCACACAATTGTTTATCTGCTCAAGAGGAAGGAAACTTTCTAAAAGGATCTGACTTATATTCTCGTTGCACTTGTAAAAAAAACCAATAAAACTTCGATGCAACCAGCTCGTTGGCCAGGATTTGAACCTGTGTCAAGCTAGCTGTGCTTAGCGATTTTAGATGCTCTGCCACTGGGGATCCGGAGTCTTATTTAAAATCTTGTTTTGAAATCTTCTACCCTAATTTAGTGTGATAGTTGTAGTATAAGGGTTAGGGTTATTTCAATATAACAAATCATACGAGAGATATGGGCCTTCGTGGAGCCCTTTCAGTGGGAAACTGGGTTACACATGTAGAAAACCGCGAAAAGCAAACAGGCAGGAATCCCGTCTCTGAGAAACGGAACTGATCATTTTCCTTTAATTTGAAATCTAAAACAAATAAAATAGAAAACAGTGCTTTTTGGAGGAGCTGTATTCAGTATTATAAAATTCCATTAAATTTATTTAAAATAAGCTGCAAGCTTTAAGTACAGTTTTTGTATAAGCAAATAGTAGTTTGCCTATGCTAACTGCCCCAGTGGATTGGCTGCCTCACTGTCGGTGGAAAAAAAGAAAGTATCCAGTGCCAGTTACAAATTGTACAGCTGTTTAATAGCATTTGAACTATATCATTAACGTTGCATATTGCTGAAATGTACTTGTTCTTTAAAGTCCTTGATCTGTTCTAAAAATAGTACCGCAGAAGTTTCAAAAATGAAGTACAATTTAAAACTACTTAACATTTCTATGCATATAAAAATGTAAAACTGTTTAAAATGCATATCGTTAATGCTTCCTGTTTTATTTGGAATAATATTTCAAAAATAAAACTTGTGTTGGTTACAACCCAAGCAATACGTAACGAAATAAAGAGCCGTAGTTTGATAATGCTAGGATTGCAATAATTACAAATTACTTAGTGCAGTTGACATTTTGCTTATGGGTGTTCTATATATTTCTATTTCTTCAAAAATCAAATCTTAGCAGTTACTTTTATTGTTACCATTTTATTAATTGTTTTACTAACTTTACTTATTTTTACAAAGGAATTTGTTGCAGTTCAGACTTTATTTAAGCCAAGTTATTAGATTCCTCTAATAGTGTTGTTGTTCCCAGTCTTTCTGTGTTTGAACCTACTAGCAGATCAGGCAAATGAATTTTATTGTGGCAAGAAGTGCTACTGATTTTGACATTGATATAAGCAGCTTATAGGTAACAGCTGGAATTTTCAGAGACCTACCCCAGCTTTAAAAGGAAATCTTTGGGAAATGGTTGCATGTGTCTGCTACCATTAATTTCTCAAAAGAGCTTTCAGATCAGCTGTACTTTAAACAGTCACATGCTGCAAAAGCACTGACCACTCATAAAGATCCATATTTTCTGTATTTAAATTCAGGCCCAAGGCTATGGATGCTGGCTCCTTTAGCACCATGTAAGAGAATGAGAATTGCTTTAAACAAAATTTAGCCTAGGATTGATGCTGATTTTTAAACAAAAGTTTACGTGCATTTCAAGATATTGTTGATGTGCCGTAGTTTAATCAGTTGCAAAATGTTACTGTGTTTAGTTGAACTTTCAAATACTCCTTTTGTAACAGATTATCGTGATGTGATGGATGAAAAATGGTTTTGGATGAAGAATAGAAGAAAATTTAGATGTGTCTTACATCTAAATTTTGATTTAAATGAAATGAATCATTTAAAAACAGTAGTTTCAAACTGGCAAACTTTTGTACATGCAAAATATAGTCAGTAGTGCTAGAATATGCAATTAAGGAGATTGTACACTGTTATTAAATATATGAAATTTTATTCTAATTATAATAAAAGAAATACAAATAAATATTGACTGAAATTAAAAATTTCATCTCCCCAAAAAGATGAGACTTTTTTTTGTGAGAAAAAAAAGCTTATCAATGCAGTTGACAATAAAAAATTCCACATGTGATTGGAAAAAATCCAGGCATAGGAGACTGGTTAAGATGCATATTTTTTGTATTTATCATGGTAATAAGTAAGATAAAATTTTGTACTGTTTCCAGTTAGTCTCTTGTACACAGTGCATTTTGTAGTAAACATTTACAAATATTCACTTACTCATGCTTAATTTGATAAATAGCTCATTATGTTTAGTTAGGAAAATTATTTCACTTGTTAATGGAAGATCAAAGGAATTAAAATTAAAATTTATGTGGGAATCCTGACATTGGTGTAGTATTGAGTGTTTTTATTTGACCTTGTAAAACTTGTTTCACAAATGCACTCTTTTCTTGCTATAGTACTTGAATTTGAATTTAATCGTAAATATGTCAGTTTAATTTTGTGCATCTGTAATGATTGTATAAATATATATATTTTTTTCTTATCAAGCATGCGATTAAAAAGTATGAAGAACTGTGCCCTTCTTTTCATGATTCTAGAGAGTGTAAATTTGTGATGGTAAGTTTTTTTTGGTTATGTACCTAAGATTTTATTATGTGAAATGTTATATTATTATGTGTTATGTTGTTATCTGTTTGGCTGTTTAATGTGAGATTTTGTTCCAAAAGAATAACTCTTGATTAATTAGGATACTACGAGAGTTGGGGGCAAAAGTCATGGCAACTATTTTTTTCTTGTAGATATGTGAACGGATCACAAAACGTGTATGTGTCCTGTGGAAGTTCTGCAGGCATAGTGTGTATGCAGAACAACAGATGGCTCTGAAATAGCGAGGCTCTGAAATCAGTCAGTTAGTGAGTGTTGTGTGAGATGGAAGTAACTCGTGTTGAGCAGTGTGCTTACATCAAAATAGTCGTTCTTCAAGGAAGAAATGAGATGGAATGTCACAGTGAATTAGTAGAAGCTCTTAGGAATAATGCCCTATCATATCATACAGTAGCACGGTGGGTAGGAAAGTTTCAGTAAGGACGTGTGTCAACCAGCGATGAGCAACGTTCGGGATGACCGGTGAGTGTGCGAACCGACGTAGCACGTGCCGTCATCGACCACCTCATGGATGAAGACAGATGATGGATGTTAGAGAGGGCAAGTGGCATCGCACCATACAGGATATTGTGTAATGAGCTACAGCTATGCAAAATAGCTTTGCGGTGAGTACCGCATGCACTGACGGAAGTTCAAAGGTGGGTGCGCTATGCAATATACTCTGACCACTTTGCACACTGGCAACAGGACGGCGATCAATTCTTGTCACGAATAGTTGCCATCTATGAATTTTGGGCCAGGGCATACGAACCAGAACTGAAACGTCAGTCCGCGGAATGGCAACATCCTAGATCACCAAGGCAGCAGAAGGTCCTTCAGAATCCTTCCCCAGTCAAATTGATGGTGATCATCGCATATGACGTCAGGGTTATGTTTGCCACTTTGTTCCTCATGGCAGAACAGTGACCACACAGTACTACAGGGACTTCCTGGTGCAACAGGTACGCGTTCAGGATAAATATCCGGATCTTGTGGACAGTGCAATAATTCTGCACGACAATGCAAGACTGCATAAAGTGTACGGCAGCTATTCCGACGTTGGGGATGGGAAGAATTGGAGCACCCACCGTACTGTTGTGCCTTTCACCCTGTGACTTCTTATTCCCAAGATTAAGGAACCAATACGTGGTAGGCAGTTTGCAACACGAGAGGACATTGCTAATGCTGTGCGCCAACAGATGGCCCGATTCACACATGGTGCAGCAAATGCTGAGGCTGATGGTATTCAGCGCCTCCCACATCGTTGGCAGCATGTGGTGACAGTAGCAGGAGACTATATTGAGGGTCTTTAGGCCCACGTTTGTCATGTCACCTTTAAGTGTATTGTGTTATCATTCTTTTGCATGCTGAAGGCCATATTGCCCTGTATACTACCATAATAAATTCGTGTGTTACGATGTTTCAGTGCTATTCATTGTCCACACATGTAGTTAAAACCTTGTCCATTCGTCTGTATATGTCACATTTTCCAACCGGACTGGTATCTTCAAGAAAAAAAATAGTTGCCATGACTTTTGCCCCAACCTACGTATAAAGAATGGTTACGATGATTAATTCAAAATCACGGATAATTCAAGTTGGAAGGAATGAAAGAAAATTAGCCCAAAATATAATAAATGGGGAAAAACTGTACAATTTATTTTTATTTTCAAGCAATTTCATCTGAGGAATAAGCTTATTTGATTCAAATCAAATTGATATTCAGAACTAAAAGGACACACTGTAAATAATGGAAGAATAAACATAATTAGAAATTAAACTAAATTATAAATACTATTAAAGAATAATATTTTCAAGAGACTTGAAAAATGTCATTGGAATCAAATTGGATTTCAGTGGCATTGAATTCAAACTTGGGTAAACAAAGGTTTTTATTTTTTAACAGAATACTTGTGGTAAACAACATCCATCATCACTGCTGTTACTTATTGCTTTTTCTTTTCCTTTTTGTATTATCTGTACGTAGTTTTGCTTTATGCTGAAGGTTTGTGATAGTAATTTTTTCATCAAGCTTTAAAAAGCAAACTGAAAATTTTTAGGGAACCAGGTTTGTCTGCCACACAGTGAAATGTGATTTGACCCTACATGTTTCTGGGAATGTTTTTTTTAAGTAAACTTTGAAATTTGTGCAATAAATAAAATAATCAAGAGAAGAATGGTACTGGTTCTATGTGCAAAGGAAATACATGTGTCAAAAATGGGGGGGGGAATCATAAAATTTATAAACTGATGAAATTTTTAAATTTTATCAAATTTAATTTTTTATGTAAATAAAATTAATTAGTATCTGTAACTTCTACTTGGATCCTCTGATTTGTTCTTATTTTTATTTTTATACTCTTCCAATATGTAACTGCTGAGACTCTTGGTTTTTTATAACTTTTCCCAGTTTTAATTTTTAGCCTCTAAGGAGGTTCTTTGCAATAAATGAAATCTATTGAATTAGAAACTTAAATCTTGCAAATTTCATTTTTTCCTAGTGATTTTTAGTGTAATTTTTCTTATTTAATTTTGTTGGTTCTAAATTGTCTTTAATGTACTTTAGACATTTGTAGAACTTTATGTAAAGGTTCAACCAGTGTTTGGTAAGTTAATCTTTGTAGTTAATTTTGTTTTACGTTGGTGTAAGGTACAAATCATTTTCTCACCTAACAGAGAAATCCACAGCTTGATTCTTAACTTCCCTTTCTCGTATCTTGTCAGCATAGTTTGTGATATATTGGCCAAACTAAAAGACTATTAAAGTTTCACATCAAGAAGCACAAATCTTACATCCAAAAAAGCAGAAATAAACAAATCTTTGATAGCTAATCATAGTTAAAATTTAACCACAATTTTGAATTTGGGTCTGCAAAAACTATCCAGGACGCTTCTTCAGTTGGTGAACTGGATTTCTTTGAAGTATTTTACATTCACAAAAATTTATGTTTTTTTAGTTATTTAGTTCCAATCTAGTCCTCCATAATACTTTCAAATGCTATTAACTTAATATTTTATGTTGTTACTATTTCTGTGGACAGATGGCAATACCTTTTCATTGGCTTTACTTTGCTTTTACTATAAATATGGCTGTGACTCCTTCCTGCGTTGCAGAATTTCTTTGCTGCTGATGAAGAAGGATTTTTACCTGTTGCGCTTGGAATTGATAGAGTTGTGATTAAAATTAACAGTTGTTGCTTTGTCTAATTGTATGTTCATTCTTTCCTTTCTCTGCACTTTCTCATTATAAAAATGTAAGAAAATTATGACATGAAATTAGCCAAAAAACGTCAAATTTAGAATATCTAATTAAATATTAATGTATTTTTCATTAGACTCATATAGAATCAATAATTGAATAATACAAATTCCTTAAGTCAGTTTGAAGTTTTTTGGAAAGGGTGCTACTGCACCACTCAAGAACCTTTTGGCTTTTCATATTTCAATGCTTTCAACTATAGGATTTGGTGTAGAAAAGATAATAAAGTTTTACCAATTTCGAATTACTGTTAGTGGTTTGGTGAATTTGGAATGACTGATTTGAAGTTATGTTGGAAACAATCACTGAAAGCACAAAAAAAGATATCATCACTGATGTCATAAAAGAAACCTGCTTGGTAAGCATGTGATTGTAAACTGCATTAGTCCTTTGGCTATTATCAGAATAAATAATGGACTGTCGAGTTAAATATTTCATTATGAGTTCAATTCAGTATGTTCTGCGGCAGAAAGTATCAGCAGATCAGTTAGACCACATACGGACAGTGAATGCATTATTCATCTGCTAGTTCATGAATTTTCATGCAGATGGCACTTCATTGGGAAATGCATCATGTGCACATTGACAACAATCTTTTCCAGATGCTCTTCTTAGGCAAACTGTATCTAAATTTCATACTGTCCTCTAAATGTCCTCTTCCTGCTCGAATGTATTGTTTGAGGTGATGCAGGAAGGCTCCTATGGCATGTAGAAGTTTTGGAATGTGCTTGCCATTGTGCTGTGCTGTTGGAATGAAATTGTACCCTCCAACTGTTTTGCCCAAGTTCTGCAAATGTTTGCTTTTCTGCTACAGTATTCACTGAAGTAGTGGAAGCCAGCATTAGAATAGGCTTTGCAGCAGAGCCTATTCTATTGCAGGTATCTAACTATCCCATTCCACAACTGCATCAGCCAGCAGTCTGTGATGTACTTATTTCCTGACTTCTATCTCTTCATGCATGCTGTAACATGCACATACTCATTCAGACAACTGAAATTGATTGATGCAATATGTTCTTCCCTGTAAAATACTTTAATTCATTTTTATACAAGAATTCTTTTACTCCCTCAGAAAAGTTCCTCGTCATATATTCCTTTTTCTCTCCACTACCACTTGTTTAGAGGAGAAAGATTCTTTCAAAACTAGAAAGAAAAAAATGAAAGTAAACTGAGCAAGGCATGATATATAATTTATGCAAACTTTGGTTCCAGAATTCTGCTGTTATATCTGTAATTAAATTCAGATAAGTGATATGGTATTCATTGTGAGATTTTTTTTATGTCAATATATATTAAAAAATTCCCACCCCTTATTTTCAGACTCTTTTAGAAAAGCTGGAAGAGCAAGATGTTGATGGTTTCACAGATGCCGTCAAAGAGTATGACTCTATCTCACGACTAGATTCTTGGTACACCAATATCTTGCTTCGCATAAAAAAATCAATGCAAGAAAATCCAGATTTATGCTAAGTGTTGCTAAAGTTTTCACTTTTATTCATTCGCTTTATCGCAGAACTGTTTAGTGAAAAATATATTTGCTTTATTGCATAGCTCACATTTGTATTTTCTCTTTGTTTTGTGCATATTAAATAATGTGAGAGGACATTTTTTTTAATAGGAAAACCACACATTGTTATTACAATCAACTCTCGATTTTACCTCCAACTCTAAATCATGATTTATTCAATAGCAATAAATAATAATAACAATAATAATGATAATAAAATACAGGAAGGAGGAATATCCTGTATTATAATTAACCAAAAAGTACTCCTCAGTTTACCTATATTTTCTTGCAGATTCATCTGAAGAATAAGTTAATTTGGTTATGTTTAATTTATGCAATATGTCACAAATAAATCAATATTTGAAACAATAAAGATTATACTCTAAATAATGGAAAATTCATTAGAAATAAAGAAACTTTTTACAAATAACCACTTCACTGTTTCATTTTCTCCTGAATTCAGTACAAAAAATGTCATGTTTTTACAGTATTTTTACTCATTTCACATATCTAGTAGGTAAATATTATTTTAAAAAATTGTAAGTATTTTTAAGCATTTTAAAAAATTGTAAGTATTTTTAAGCATTTGAAACAATTTTTTACTTCAAATAAAATAATGTTTTCCCTGGAAGTTGTTTTTTCTTCCTACATGAGTGCCTAACAAATAAGCTACATTTACAGTTGTGTATATATAGTATAAAAATACAATTATGTTTGACTGCAGTATGCAGTATGACTACCAATCGATGCCACCATTTACTTAGCTTTTTTTTTTTTTTTCTCCAGAGATCTAATTTAGTGTGATATATTTTAAAACAAGGTAAGGGGCGTAGTCCAACAACTCAGTCCAAATAAAAATACCGAGTCTCTTTTCTAATTCTTTTGCTGTTCTAATTTTGTTTTCTGTTGGTAAAATCAGTTCTAAAAATGTCTTTCTGCTAGTCTTCGTAGGCTGGTAAACATCCAGGAAGCCCTTTCCTTTACATTCTACTGTTGCAAATCTTTCAATCAGTCAAGCAATACTATTCAATCAAAACTGTAGATTGGTATCTTTACTGCTGTTTCTTAGAGAACATAAGCATTCCATAAACAGATGTTTAGAAGAAGTCATCTAGAGCAGCGGTCATCAACCCTTAGAATTTCACGGACCACTACATATATAATTTTATATTTGGCAGACCACTAATATGAATTTAAAAAAGAAAATACATCTATACATTAATAATCAGCAAACTACGCATATTTCATTCACATTGAAAAATTACATGAAAAGTGCATAAATCTTACCTTCTTGTACAGAAAGCTTCACATTTCTATACCACTGAAAAGGAACTTCATGGAAAACAAGAAAAAACTGGCAAATGCAGAGCAATATCAATAAGTTGACAGTGTTATGTCACCAATTTTTAATTATTGTAAACATAATAATCATCGCTTACTCAGCAGTAGCATCCTAATCAACAGCTAGACAAAACAAAAACGGAAACTTCCAGTGATGCAATTATAAACAAGAATGCAGATGGTTCTCATAAAAATCCATCAAGATGCCTATTGACACTGAGAAAAACTGTAATTAATGACCACAATAGCATATGTTTATAATTCAAAAGGAAGGAGAATTCCAGTTTGTGCTGTTATTGATAATAGCAGCATATTCATGGATGCCAACTCTCACTTTCAAACGTCGCTAGATACACCTGCAAAAGTAGCTAAAGTGTCGACATATTCAGAAGGAATTTTACTAAAAGTAGTAACTAAAATAATGAAAAAAAGTATAATCCATATTCCATAATAGGCTTTGTTACTCTTCATTTTTTAAACTGAATCTTCATAAAAATATAAATAATGTTGCAATTTTTTGCGGGCCATCAAAAAGTTTTCACAGGCCACCGGTTGGCAACTGCTGATCTAGAGAACTTTCATTACTAACCAGACTTATTTACAGACATTTCAGAATCTGAATCACAAGAAATTAGCTACATACATTCTGAATCAGCTATTACTTTATGGTAAGAAACAATTTTAAGTACTTGTATAGCAATAAAGTTATCAAATCAGCAGTAAAATACATGCAGAAGTTAAACACTGAGAAATAAAAATTCATTAAGTCGTGCAATTAACGTGAAAGAGGTGTACACTTTTGAACCAATTGAAACAGAGCAAAATAGACTTTACAAAATACCACTTAGAGGACATCTGTTTATGCAACTAATTTGATATTAAATGTAGGAAAGATAGATGTAAAGCAGTAAAAGAAACAGAGAAATGAGATCACCCATGCAATGTGTGGGCAAATCAGTGAAGGTCCAAAAGCAGCACTTGTACAGCACACAGGCAAAGCATGCAGGTGGTTAAACAACAATATTTACTGTAGAGCTTAAATAATGTCATTGTGTTCAGATTCACATTAAAAGTATATAAATTATATTATTAATAGTAAATATTTTTTCTCTACAATTTCAGGTAATGTACAATTAAATATTTTATTATTAAATTTTAGATAAAAATATCTGCTAATTACTGTGCTACCATCTTCTGTCATTGCTGTTGTCTCACGTGTAGGCCATTTCGCTTAATTCTGATAGTAAACTTTTTTTATCATTTGAAATAAATGAACTTAATTTCTTTGTAGGCAGGTTACTCCTGGTTAATCGAGATTTGATTGTAAATTCATTTTTCATTTTAATGAACAACAATTATGTGAGACTGTTGATTTTTCACAGTCTTGACAATATTATTTGTCGCATTTATTTAATGATGGTTGGGTTATTATTTCTGGCTTGTTTCCAAGGTGTACATTTCCATCACATTTTTGGAGTATCTCACCAAAGTGTTTTTGATGCCAAAGTGTTATTAATATTTTTGTGTTAATTGGAAATTTCTATAACAATTATATGCATTTTTGTTGTATTTTATTAAACTTATGTATATACTTAAATTATATATATATATATATATTAATGTTGCTTCAGTATGGTAAATTAATTTGAAATATATTTATACTCGTTATGTATTTAAGATATAATTTTTTACACAATTATTTGAACAGTGAAAGTAATTTTCCAAAGTGGTATTATTATGAATATTTTTCTGTGCACTTTTTCATTTTAATTTATTGCATATTAAAATATAAATAATTCATATATCTGAACTGTACATATGCAATAGTAGTTTATTTCTCTATAGCGAGTTATATTTGACGTAAGACTGTTAATCTTTAGAATACCACAAAATGTTTTGGAGTATAAATTAGTGATAAATATTGATATCTCCATTACTAACTGTTCTGTGCAAAGCTTTGATTTTTGTGTGATTATACTTAAAGAAAAATTTTCCTCTCTGCACCGAAAAGCACTAAAACAAGGACTATATTGCTTAAGCCTCTGACTTTTTTCCTTGATCATCATGTCAGTTACATCAAGTTAGTCAAAGTGTTAGACATTAATATTTTAATTTTGAGTTTAGTTCAAGCAATGAATGAAAGAATGCTTTCAGAATTTATTGATATTTGAATAATTTTATCTTAATAAAATTTAAATTAAAAAAAAAAATCAGATTTTTCTTCTCCTGATGATTTTTAGTGTACTATGTCCGATTCATCTAAACTGATTTCATGCCTTTCAGTGGTCTATAGAGATCTGTTCAGTTTTATCAGTACTTGAAGTGTCTTAGTAAATGCATTAAAGTACTTAGTTCCTTATATTTAATTTTATGTTTGGTGAAAGAAATTGTTTGTTTTGGTCATGGAAGATAAAGGAACATTATGGAAATTGAAAACTGAATTTTAGTAAAAATTCCATGACATGTATGTTCTCTTTCTACTTCCAAATACTTAATATTGTTGATTTTTGACAAAATAATTTCTTAAACATGTAGGTATGTTTCCATATTTTTGATTTTATGTTTAGAAATAAAATTGCAGAAGCCCATGGGCTTACATTAGAACATAATGGAATTTTTAAATATAAATATTGTTTGATATTTTTTAATAAAAAGTTAATTACAGTCAATTATTGATTACTGGGGTAATAATAGTTAAGATACCCCTTTTTAATTCAAAATTACATTTAATCCGAGCACAGTTAAATATGAGAAAGAGGATTTAATTTAAAACAGGGTTCGTACGGTTCTTAAATGTCCTTAGGTTTCTTGGAATCGAGTTTTCGTCCTTAAATGTCCTTAATTTTGGCTCTGTAACCAGCTCTTATTGTATATCATTTCATGCTTATTCTTAATGTTCATATTACTAAATAAAATTAGAGTTTTTGCTATACATTCCAAATGCAGTTAGTTTTTTTAAATAACAGAAATATTTAATTGAATCTGAAAATTCTAGAGGAAACGTATTGAAGAAATAAACTGAATACATAATTAGAAAGAAAATTACTATTCAAAGATATAAAGTTATTATTATATAAGTTAACCAGTTGTTTATAATTTCAACCTTTATTAGAACTTCCCCTATCCATTACCTCACCAGAATGTAAATCAGTTAGATAGTTTTTAAATTGATGTATTTGGATTGGAAGTTAGAATGTGTTTCTGACCTCTGCTTGCACACTGCATTAGTTCCTGCCAGCTCTGATAATTTGTATTTATTTATCTCTGCAGACATTTGAATTTTTTACAACGATTACTGAGCCAGCTTCTATTAAAATTAAATTGTGTAGTCTTTGGCTGCTAGTCCAAATTTTTAGTTTGAATTTGACTGTTCCTGTTTAATTACATCACTGTTACGAGATGTAGTTGATTTTGTTAGCATAAGAGCGTGCCTTTATGTTCTGAGTTCTTTTTAAATAAGAGACTTATTTAAACCTTTATCTGACTTTGCAGTCACTTTGAGACATGGCAATAATTTGCTTCACGTCTGTCTTTGAACTATTCCACTTTTAACAGATGAAGTAAATGTGATAGATACATACTGCATGCAGAAACTAGTGGGAACATTGGTTTGCATGTTGAAACAAATTTCTAATTGTTAGAAAAGATGCTTAAAGAAAAAAGGAAATTAATATAAATTAGCCAAAATGCCTAGGAAGGCTTCAGAT